TTAGCCGGTAAAGAAACATTTTTGTAAATGAACCACCTTTAACTGAATAGATTAATGCCGATGTATTTTATTTCTGTTTTAAATGAACATTAGATTTTTATTCTTTCGATAATAAATTTTTACTAGGTATAAGGATGAACAACAAACGTTTTATTACGTTCTTATGGTGTAAGTAAAAATTCAATTATTCTAATCTAATGTTAAAATTTAAATTTTTAAAGTGGCAACTGATTTATTAACAAACTTTTAACATTTGGATATGTAAAGTAACGGACGATGCAGGCTTAACAAATGACAAAGTAAGGGGTAGGTCTAATAATTGGGAGGACGAATAATTCAATCTCTTATTAATTATTACCAAAGTAATATTTCGGTTTTTATACTGTACAATTGAGAAATAAATGTGCACCCAAATGACAAGATTTCTTTCTTATAAATTGATTACATTTGATATTATCGCTTATTTTTCTTTTTATCTTCTCCAATAATTTAAAAATACTTTCCAATGCAGAAATGATTGACTTTTGGCACGAATAGACCAAATTAAGGTATCAGGTATTGTGCAAAACCCAAGAGACTATGACTATCAAAATTATTTTATCTTTATAATAGAAGAAATTATTAATATTAGACTTATCTTCATATGTCAATACTTCAGGAGGTTATCCTACATGGCGAAATGGAATAAAAAAATCCCTATTGCGCAAAGTGTTGGATATAGTTTGCTGTTCAGGTTACTTCAACCTTCCACAACTTTATTAAGCCCGTATCTCATAAAAACTTAATCCTACTGTAAATTTGATTATACCAATGGAAAGAGTGATGAAAACCCTGTAAGATTCATTCAAATGTCCACCACCTTCTTGAAGAATGTAAGCCTGACAAAAGGTGGGCATTTCGAACATTTAATTTAATTGTTAGAAGCGTTTTTCCATGTTCAATTTTGTTCCAATAAGTCTTTCGTTGTTCATATTGTACTACTTCCATGTTTTTAATAAAATAACAAATAGTCAAATTGATAATAATAAAAAATAAATATTTTTTAAATGGAAGTTTTAAAATCTTAGTTACTATTTTTAAGCATTTGTAACCGAAAAATCAAATTGTTATCAGTTAAACGTTAATTTTACATTGGTGATAACTGACCTTTAAGAAATTACGTTCACATTTGGGGCAACTTTTCTGTAAGCTCACGTCTGTCAATACTTACAGAACCAAGAAAAAGTTACCTAAACTTTAGCCAACAGCTCTGGAAACTGGTAAACGTTTATATTCCAAGTGATTTTGTATTTTGTTTGCTTAAGGTTATAATAAAAAATATTTTTAAAAAATGAATCTCATAGAGATTTTAATTCTCTTTACTGTAATCAAATTTACACAAGAATCTTTTACGTGATATGAAAGACTGAATGGAATAAAGTTGTGAAAGGTTGAAGTCATCTGAAAAGTGAAATATCTCGGATACAACCGAAAATCAGACTTTGAACAATAAGGTCTTTTTAGTCCAATTTGGCATGTTGGATAACTTGAAGTATTTACGTTCTCGAAACACCCTGTATATAGTAATTCAGATATCGTGCGATGCGGTCGGGTTTGATGTAGGTTTCAGAAAAACATTTTCTTTATCCTGCCAACGTTTCGATCTTTATTGAGATTATCTTATTATTGGGCACTCTCGACACGACACGCAAGGATGGCACAATTACACAGAAGACAAACACTTTGAGCACTGAAGATGATCTCAATAAAGATTGAAACGTTGGCAGGATAAAGAAAATGTTTTTCTGAAACCTACATCACACCCAACCGCATCTCACGATATCTGAATTACTATCGATTAACGGTCACTAATCTCTACCCTGTATATAAATCAGCTTTTGACAAATCTGATCAAATTTAGGCATTAGGAGTTGTAAACATAAGAAACTAATCAAAACAATTTATCTACACCATCTCTAACTACCCACCCCTAAAAAAATGTATATATAATGTACATCCCCTTTAGAGGATTTGGCTTATTTAATTATACATTTTTTCAAATTCGTCATTTTGTTTTCCTAATAGGTAAACTCAATAAAATATTGAAATACTACCTACAAACTGCATCTTAAACTCATACTTTGGTGTCATTATAGGGTATGGAAAGATAGGCACTTCCGCTAATTTAATATTTCAAGTCTTTCATACACTAATTAGTCAATAAGAATAATTCAAGTAGAAAAATTATAAAACAGCTAAAAGTAGGTAAGAAATAATTGGATTTTGACATGGTTATTACCATTTTGGAGTAGGTAATATGAACAATTCAAGAAAATTTTAAAAAATATTTATGTTCATCTACGATCAGTATTTTAGTACAATCGTCTGATCTGAACAACAATAACGGTTGCAAACTTTAGTAAAATATAACAATAGAAAAACATTAAATCAAGTCCCACATAGAAATATAATTGGTTTTTGTCGTTTATATACCAAAATAGACAATTTTATTGGGACAAAAGGACGGAAAGACTGGAGATGTACAACCGGGTAAAACTAAAAGAGAGAAAGACGGAGAAGAGAGGTGATGGTAGAAAATAAATATTTATAGCCGAAGGTAGGTGAACGGTGAGACGCCCCAACTACCTGTTGCTACATCTGACAGAAGGGGGGAGGGCGGCCCCCCTGGAAGCGATCTACCTGTTGCAACCCCTTCAACCTGTTGCACCCCAAACCTCACTGGGGTTGAAATAGAAAGGGAAAAAAAGCCAAATTCAAACCCTAAGCCAAGAAGACCAAAGACAAAAAACAACCTTCGGGAGATGTAGAGGGGTCGCGGAGCGGCGTTGCCGGATCTAACACGCCCACCACTGTTTATCTGACGTAATAAAGATCTTCGGAGTACTTACTCTTGAGGAAGTCGATCTTTTTTTTTCTCATTCTTGGGTAAAATAAAATATTTAAAAAACATACGCCAGTCAATGAACATAAACTTTTCCTCGTATATTAACAATGTTCATTATTGTTTTGAAAGTGTTTATTAAAAGAAAAAATACTATTTTCATTGATATTTTTAGATGAAAAGGTGTATAAGAATCGACTTTTTTAAATTTAAAACACCTATCTTGCACCATTGAGATATTTTTATTTCATTCTCTGTTTTTACATGTCATAATTACAAAAAAAATGTCCCATAGAACGAACGGAGTTTATTGAAAAGAACATTTTTTAAATTCCATTCATTATTTTTATTATTATTATTTTTTGTTTGTTTTACAAAAACATAATTTACATAAAATAAATCTTGATCTACCCTGAAAACAAATGTCATCGCAACTTCACGCCCTGAAGTCTTGGAATAGAAAAAAGATTGGTGTAAAATAAAATACAAAATCTTTAATTTGGGTTCACAACATTGAATGTTCCAATTAAATTCAATTTGAAAAAAAAAAAAAAAAAAAACTTTTATCTGAAATGGACCATTTCCTTCCTAGTGGAACCTGTTGATCATACAAAAATCCTGGCTTTTCAAGATAAAATTCATTTAAAAATTATATTTTATTAAATAACGTAAATTATTGGATTAAATAATTTTTAACGTGTATTTTGCCAAATTAAATAAATTTACGAGATTCACTGCTTTTGAATAGCTCCGAGACAGTGGTCAGTAACTTTTCCATTTTTATATGCTTTTTCTACTTAGAAAATTTGTTTTCCTATTTATTTCTGTTTAAGTTAAGTGTTAAGTCGAAGAGAATTTCTCCGAGCGTGTTTAACTACCATTATCGAAAATTGTAGACAAAAAAAATTCTTAAAAAACCCTGCATATTTTTTGCAATGTTTGATAAATAAGTACATTTAATATTTTAATAAAACATCAATAAGATTTGTTTTGCTTGGCCGTTCAGTTTTTTCTACCTGAATAGTAGACCACTGTTTTTTTTTCAGGATTTTTGACTGATAAGTTTATTTACTTTGTAAATATATTATTGTTTTTAGTTATCTGTGGAAATTATTAGATTCTTCTTCTTCTGACTTTAGAACATATTTGACCAAGAGTCTGTTAACAAAAACTTTACATTTTATAAAGTTTCTTTTACCAGACGAAAAAAAAATCCACTACATTGAGACATATCTTCTATCTACCACAATGTACAACATAAAGGGCACTGTTTCATGGTTTGAGTTTTTATTTTTGTCTGACTGAAATTTCTGCACCGTACTTTTCAATCTTTCCGGTAATTCCCTATGCCTCTTTGTTGTTGGGATAACTTGAGTTCTTTTAACTACTTTGTTAAAATCTAATGGTTTGTGATAGAAGTTCTTCATGGAAGAATGAATGAATATGATCACGTTTAACTCTGAGACTTTTCTTCTGTTGTCAAATAGAAAAAAATTGCATACAATTTATTTAGCATTTAAAAACGTTCTGATATTGCGTCGTAAATGTTATTACAAGGAGTAACTAAGAAGAAATTGTAGTGCATTTGTGTAACTAAACGAGTAGCTCGCAAATTTTTCTATCCTGACAAAAACGAAAAGATTTTTTAAAATTGATTATTCATTTAGTTTATTTACTAACGAGTAAAATTTGTCACAATGATAATTCAGACCATTGTTTAAGTTTTGTTAAGTCGGACATTTTTATTTTTCCAAGATTTAAACTTTCAACGAATGAACCTCTGCAGGAAGAATTAATTGTAACTGTACATTAGCTGAAAAAATCCTTGAAAGTTAAAATTAAAAAGAACGAAAACTGTTGGAAATTGTCCGTATTGTTGTTGAACGTTAACTAAACAGATAGTCTGAAATGTAAATTTTAGAATAACAGTCAACACAGGAGGTCCGCAACTGAAAAAATGTTTATAAAATCATGTCAAAACAACAAAGAAAACCGGTTTCATGCATTTTTTAAGTGGAGATTTTTCATTTATAAGATTAAGATATTAATCTTGAAGGAGCTTTATAAAAATTGAGATTTGTTATTTTGAATGATTTGGAGGTAGGAAAATGGGACTTACTTTAAGAAGTAGATCTGTCCTTCTGAAGTTCTCGCTTGTTCCCAGCCGGGCGGAAGAGGGCCGAGTTCGTCCAAGGCGGTCATGTCGTAGGACCTCTGCTTAAGATGTTGAGGCGTCTGCTGCTGGGCGGAGGCGTACGTCTGTTGGAGGGATGCGGGTGAGCTGTGGGCCCGGGGGTGGTTCACCTGGAGGGACACGGTCGTCGTTTTGGTGCCGAAGGCGGAATCGGCCGAATTCTCCCTCGAATGCGATATCGAGGAGACGGACGGCGACTTGGAGCCGGTCGAGGGCGGGTTGAAGAAACTGTTGGGCAGATTCCGCATTCTGAGCGGCACCTGGAGCGGACGTTTCGAGTCCGGCTTCAGGACCGAGTCGAAGAGGGCCTGGAGCTCAGAGTCAGAGTCCTGGTCTATCCTCACGACTAGGTTCGACTTGAACTGGTCCACTTCCGGGTTCCCCGACATCCTGGGGTTCACTTTTCCCACGAGCTCGAAAATTTGGTAAACAAAATTGAAGAAACGAAAAAAAAGGAGGAAAACTGGAGAAACGGAAGTCAGAGATACATCGTTGACGGGGGGCGCTCGAGAACTTGTGTTGTCGAGTGCGGACAGGAAGTGTTTTCAGATAGAGGGGGGAAAACGATAACGCATGCGCCCCTCCACTCATAGGTAGCACCACCAACACCATCTCTATTCCACCTTCATCCTCATTCCTCGCCAAAAGTCTGAAAACCACCAACCGCCGACCACCGGGATACACATTTACAAAATACAAATACAAACCAACTCCATTAAATAGCCAGAGCTGTTTATTTACAAATACAATAATATTCAGAAACCTTACATTTTCATATGCCAAAAGCTTTTGATTCACTAAAAACAATATATTTTACAGAATTATTCCAATTTACAAAAAAATTAAACATAGACATATAAAATATAACAATATAAAATCAACAATAAGAAAAAGGAAAAAATTACTTAAGCGTTAAACAATATTAATCCATTTATATTTAGTGCCCTAATTGATCAAATTACTTCTTTCAATAATTATTCTTTTTATGTAAGGTTCAAAGGCTGGGTTCAAATCCCGATCATGACACTCACTTTTTTATCTTAACTAAGACCTTACATAAAAAGAATAATTCATTGAATTACACAATATGTAAAATAAGAAAATATCTTAAACAGGACTTGCCAAACTGTGGTCCGTGGACCCTAACTAGGAGGTCCGCAGTGAATTTAGAGAAAAAGTTTACAAAAATAAACGCAGAATGAATAAATAAAATTAAAAAACTAATAGCAATTAGTACTGAAAATGAAAGTTTTTTATTTTTATATTGCAGCAGCAGTGTGCTCTCCACAGACATCTATGAAACAAATGCCAGCCTCTTTTAAGAAAGTTTTAGATGGTCTGTGCAAATTATTGATTATATGAAGACACGGCCATTGAAGTTAAGACTTTTCACAATACTATGTGTCGATATGGGAAGCCTGTTTTATGTACAATGACAGGAAACTGATTTTTTTTTCATTTTCTCGATAAAAGAAAATTCTGCCTTTAATTTGTCTCATTGCTTTTATCAATAAATATTTGTTTATGCTATGTTTTAAATTGGGAATATCAATTAGATTTAAACACATTAAGCCTTAATCCAAAACAAGGATAAAGGATTTTTCAATGATTAATTTTTACGGAATTTAAAATGTTTATTCTGTCTCATTTGAATTCTGAAGCAATAAACTGTTTAGTTTTCATTTTTGTTTTCCCCCAATTTCAATTTTTAAATTTAAAAATGCCACTTAGTGCTGGGGATGTTGCACGTGGTGTGGCTCTTATTGATGATGGGCGTTCCATCAGGTATGCGGCTATTGCCATCGGAGTTCCTTACGAAACACCTGAGACGCCATTAGATGTTTTCGAGAAACTGGATCCTACCATAGAAGGCCCGGTTCTGGACGCCCTAGGGTAACAGAACCACAGGATGACTGTTATTTGACTTTGAGAATTTTGCAAAATTGGCACTTTACTGTTGTTCAAGCGATTCATCAGCTCCAGGAAGTTCGAGGTGTCCAAATTTTTGAAACACTGCTCAAAGAAGATTAAATCAGTATGGACTTTTCGTCATGTAAGAGGACCAGAATTGACCAGAACACACTGAGTTGCTCGACTCACATTTGCCCGAGAATACAGCCATTGGTCTTTGGACGATTGGTCTGCTGCACTTTTTACAGATGAGTGTAGATTTGCTCTATGATCTCCAGATGGGCATGGAAGAGTGTGGAGAACGCAAAATAAAAGAAAGGAAGCCTGCAATTTTTCCCAGAGCAAACTTTTTCAACATAGCTCAGTGATAATGTGGGAATTTCAATAGAGAGTTGCACAAAGTGGTTGTTGTGGGGGTCTTTGACAGCCACTCACTATGCGGATGAAATTTTAAAACATCATGCGTTACCTATCCTCAATGAAATCAGCGACAATCCTATTCTAATGCACGATAATGCCCATCCACATGTCGCTCGCATAGTACAAACATACCTTAAACAGTATAACATCAGGGTCTTAGCCTGGCCAGCCCATTCTCCATGCTTGAACCCCATCAAACATTTACGGGATAACCTCAAAAGACAAATAAGAGCACGTCCATCACTCCCTGATACCCTCCACGATCTTGAAAGGACTCCGTGAAGAATGAGCTAACCTCCAGCAAAGAGACATTTCCGGACTGGTAGAAAGTATGCCGAGGCGTCTTCGAGATGTAATTAAGGCAAGAGGAGGAAATAAACAATATTGAAGTGTAATTAAAAGTCTAAAACAAAATTAAAACAAATTTTATCTGTCCGTCTTTTTTTTTTTTTTTCATTTTTCTGAGCAATTTACTTTTTTTTACTTTTTTAGACAAAGACTCAATTATTGAACGATAACAAATATGAAACTTTGAGTAATATATAAAAATATATACAAATCAAGTTATATTACAAGTGGGTGAAATTTTGACAGGGCATGTCAGTGTATTAATAATCTGTATATTATTATTTCTTTACATTTAACATGTAACCAAACATCTAAAGATCATTAGGTCCTTACTTATGCATACACACCTCTACAACATACAATTTGGCATTGCTGAACAACTTACATTTGTAAATATTTAAATAGCTCAAGCTGTTTGGACTATCTAGCGATTTGATGTAGATATCAGGCATTATCAACTTAAAATAGTTCTCATATTAATTCTTAAGCTTGCTGCAACCGCTGGTATAAACCAAGTAGACAGTTACTTAGTTCTGATTTAGACCAGTAATGCTCCAAGTAAAGTGTTTCTACTTATCCACCAGTTTATAAGTTGTTTGGTTATTTCTGATCTTTTTGGTCTGCTTATGCTCACTGTTTTGGTCTGTGAAGTATTAAAAGTCGTCAACGATTTAAATCATTGTCGCCTATAACTGTTTAAACCAGGGTTTCACAAACTGTGGTCTGCGGACCCCTTGGGGAGTCCGAACTTTGAGAAAAAGTAAGAATTGCAAAAATAAACTGAGAATGAATAAATACAATTGAAAAACTAATAACAATGAGTACTGAAAACAAAAGTTTTTATTTTGCAGTAACAGCCACTGTGTTCTCTACAGACATTCCCACTAGCCAAACCCCATCATGCTCAATCTTCTCTGCTCTTTTACCACCAATTACTGCACTATTCTCCTAACAATTACACAGACTTGGAGATAAAATTGACAATACATAATTGATTTATTTAATGACTCTTTTGACGAGCTTAGAATTTTTTAAAACCCATTCTCTAGTTAATACTATTTATCTAATAAAATACCTATTATGAAATGTAAGTCATAGTGGAAAATAGAGAACTGCTGTGACTGAGTCATTAGGATGGTTAACTTAGGTTTGGATGCTAGCAGTTCTGTGTTCGAATCTTGCCATACCCCTTAGAATTTTATTTGAAATTAATTTGACAAAAATACTGAGGAGTGGTTCTGAAGTGAAGCTTGACTGATGAATTACCGAAATGAATTTGAGTCGTTGAACAAACCCGCGAGTGAAGATGGACCCAATGCCGGTTCAGCATGAGTTAACTAACTCGCAGACCAACTCCTAGCATCAACTCTATTCTGCTATTGGGTGTAATTTATATTATTACGAATAAATAAATATATATTATATTATATTCTATAAAATAAATGCAGGAAGTAGCCAAGATTTGAAATCCCGGGTTTTTTGCACTCCACCAACCAGATTGGTAGGGGGAGCACGACACGGGTGGGAAGGTCACCGCAAAACGACTGGTGGGGTATACCTACAGGCTACTACCCAGTTGTCAAATGTAGCATTCAGCAGGCAGCAGGTTACTTCATTGTAGTTCTACGAGTGGGGGGCCATTGTTTTTTTATCCCGAGATAATGCTATCTGAGAGAACGGCTCTTTGACCTACAGTCCGTTCATTAATTGAAATATGGTCGTCCAGAAAGCTGTCAAAACGTTGAATGCAGATCTTCTCAACGAGAGGAACCGGGGCACCTTCAATGTCGAAGAGCTCACCAACCTGATAGACGGTGGGGCCGAGAAGACCAAGGAAAGGAGAGAATTGGGTAAATTTCCAGCTTTCTAACGCGACTATTGTGACACTTGAATCTGTTGTGCATAGCTTATTAAAAAATAACTATCCATATAATAAATATCTCTACAAATTGATTGCACTTACAATGTCTTGCTACAAAGTTCCCCATCGAGATTATTTATCAGATTTTAGATCATTTAAAAAAAAAATCTTTTAAAAAGGCAATATTGATTAAATAATGATCGGGAAATTATTTTGAATACGAGAAATCGTCAGTATTTGGCGCTATGTTTGACGTTTCATCAAGTCTAAACAATTTCGAGGTCTTCCACGTCTCAAGAATCCCAAATTTTTAGCTTAATGGGTCTACGCTAGTCAAATCAATCAAAAACAAACAAATCTTTTTTTTAAATTGTATAAATGAGTTTTTAAAATGGCAAATAGGATTATTTTTAATCTATAAAGTAGGATCAGAAATAAAAATACCTTTAATGTTTGATAGTGTATGTTTTCAAATATTAGTCTTTCATAAAAAAAAATTAACAATTATCCTTTTGTACGTTTATCAGTTTTGATTTTTTTCACTGATTTAAATTATTCTTGTTTATTCTTGAATTTCTATTTAAAACTCGTCTGGAATAAATGACCGTCGAGATTTATCATCCTGGGATTTTAGCAAGAGATAAATATTCATTCTTCTTTCAAGGCATTTATTAAGAAATTTGCATTTACTCCTATTTTTAATCAAAGTAATGAAAATTAATGCAGTTGAAATAATTAAATTATTGTTCCTAAGATGATTCATTCTGTGAATTTTCGACGTTTTTGTACTTTGCTTTGTTCACGATCGCGTTAAGATTATTTAACGAGATTACAGAGCAGCATTTTAAGGAAATAATTACAATATTAATTGTTTACGGGAAGAGCAGGAGAAAAACGTTTTCGACTTTCTGCACGTCGTTATTATAACGACGCCGATTATTATATTTTCTCTCCCGTTTTCCCAGCTTTCGAACGTTGTTGTTGACCATGAGACTTTCTCATGGATTCGATTCTGTAATCAAAATTTCGGATTTGTCATGAAAACGATAAAAACAAGGCACACTCATGCAGGACGACAAATAATGGACAGGCATTGGAATATGTAAATGTTCAGTGTCCAGTTTTGGCTAATATTTGTTTCCTATTCGCTTACAAATACAGTAAACAAATTTGAACTTGCATTTTTGGAAATTTTTCTTTTTTTTTACTATTTTTATTCTCCCACTCTACTTGCTCAAATCAACTATGTGCATATATAATTTTACAGTATTTCTGTATGTAGTTGGCAATAAAAATATGGTAAAATCTATCAGTGTATCAATAATTAAAAAATTTCTAAAAACCAAATATTTTTCAAGTAAACTAGGCCATACATTTTTTTAAAGGAACAAATATTAAATTTTGTTTTAGCACTTCTAAGACCCCTAAATATACATTTTCGTTCTTTCACATAGACTGTTTGACGTTAAAATCCTTTTATCCATATTTGAGTTAAGGTCGTTTCAATCAGGTATTCTGAAAATGGCTTTTGAAAAATCGGAAAAAATTTACAAATTTAAATTCAACCAAAAATATATATTTCGGGGTCTCTAGAGATGCTAAAATGCAATTTCATATTAGTTTCATGGGGGGGGGGAAATCAAGACCTAGTTTACACATTTTTGGTTATTGATAACTTTTACTATAATTTTAATGCAATCTACATAAAAAAATGATGTAAAATGATATATGAGCATGGTTGATTTGAGCAAGAAAAAAGGTTGGTGGAACACAGATTTGGAACAAACATTTTTTGGTGATTCTATACCCCAAACTATGGCTCTATCCACCACCTCTTGTCGATAGGCCTTTAATTTTTTTTTTAAGTTGAATTTTTTTGTTTTTAATATTTTTATTTCGCCGTTCTTCTTGCGCAAATCAATTATGTGCATATATAATTTTACAGTATTTTTTATGTAGATTGCAATAAAAATATAGTAAAATCTACCAAAGTTTATCAATAACCAAAAAATCTCTAAAAACCAAATATTTTTCAGGTAAATTAGGCCATAACAATTTTTTTTTTTTCAAGAAACATGAAATTTCGTTTAAAGTTTTCAGACCCCTAAATATACATTTTTGTTCTTTCAAATAGTCTGTTTGACGTTAAAATCCTTTTAACCATTTTTTAGTTAAGGTCGTTTCAATCGGTATTCTGGCAATGACTTTAAAAATCGGCAAAAATTTACAAATTTAAATTCAAACAAAAATGTAGATTTAGGGGTCTGTAGAGATGCTAAAACAAAATTTCATGTCACGAAAAAAAAAAAAAAAAATCAATACCTAGTTTACACATTTTTTGGTTATTGATAAACTTTGATAATAATTTTATTGCAATCTACATTTAAAAAAATGCATGGTGATTAATGACCGTTAGTTGATGATTATTCAGAAATCGTGAGATGCGGTCTGGTGTGATGTAGGTTTCAGAAAAACATTTTCTTTATCGTGCCAACATTTCGTTCTTTATTGAGATCATCTTCAGAGGGCACTCTCTACACGCAAGAATGGCACAATTACACAGAAAACAAACACTTTGAGCCCTGAAGATGATCTCAATAAAGATCGAAACGTTGGCACGATAAAGAAAATGTTTTTCTAAAACCTACATCACACCAGACCACATCTCACAATTTCTGCATAATCATTAAAAAATGCTGTAAAATGATATCTGTACATAGTTGATTGAAGAAGAACAGCGAAAAAAGAATATTAAAAAATGGAAAATTTCAACTAAAAAATAAAAAAAAATTTTCTTGAAGGGCCTAACCACAAATGGTCGCGGATAGTGTCCAATATTTTGGTGTGTAGAATCACCATAAAATGTTTTTCACAAATCTGTGTTTCAACCTGGTAACCTTGTAAGACCAAAATTATCCTATTAAAGTCTTTTTTCTTTTATTTTTATAAAGTTTGTGCAGACATACGGAATGTTGGTTTTGATGAATGAAAACATGCTTGATAGTTTTTACTTGAAATGCAGTTTCGAGTTTTGAGGCTTCCTGTACAGAATATCTCAGGAAATTGTTGAAATGGATGGCTTAGAAAGGGTAGAATCATTTCTGTACCCGAGATATTTCAAAGAAGACTGTAAGGCCTCAAAAATGAATTTAATGTAAAACCTATGAAGTAATGTTTTCATTAATCAAAAACCCCAATGTCATATGAAAGAATATAATTACGGTCATTCGTAAAAGCTCAAGCGACAGATCGTTAATAATAAAACAAAGGCGAGATTTCTGAGATTTTGGATTGTCACAATTCCTTGCTTAAAAAAAAGCTATTGTTGAGCAATTTAATTCTGTTGCAATTTTCTAAACAGTCATTGACAAATTAAAATGCAGGTTTTAATATATAACAATAACTTTTAAAGTTTGAAACCGGGCCTATTAATCAAGTTTCTTGATGATATAGGACTCACCGATGTGCTTTAGGCAGAGCACAGGGGATACAATAGCTCTTAAAGGGCGCAGTATACCATACCCTGAAATATTACATCTAACTATCTAACTTTTAAAGTTCATCTTTTTTCTTAAGTGTGAGTGAGGTGTTCGTTTGTTTCTGTTTTGATTTTTATTGTTAACAAAATTTAATTTTTCACCCATTATAAATGATTACATCAAACATTTGATAAAAAAAGTTTTTTATTAGTTTGATTGGTATAAATTATATTCATATTCATATGTTCTTCTTTTAATTTTGATTTTTATTTATTTTTTTAAAAATTTTATTTATTTATTTATTATTATTTTTTTTTGAGGGAAGGGAGGGGTGTTGGTGGCCACAATGGTTAAAGGGTTGAAACGGCATTCATCACTGTAAGGTAAAGGTTCCGGGTTCAAATCCGGTGGCCCTGCTTTTGAATCCTACAAATGGGCTTTTTTTAAACACCAGTTGATATGACCTCTGCTGTTGCAGACCCCCATAAAAAATTGAATATCAAAAATAGTATGCGTATAAAATCATTTTATGTATTATCTCTGTCTTACACCTATTATTACTATGTAGATTATCTATGATACAAAGTCATTAAAAACGTTATTATCAAATTTGAAAATATATGATTAATTTGATATTTGTAATATTATTTTTTATTATCATAATATACATACATTACACATGCCTTTCTTGCTTTTTATCATGTCATTAGAATATTTATCTCTTTTTTCAGTTGAGTTTTTTGTGAAGGATCCTCTGCTTCACGATAAAGTACCTCCAGAATATCTGTCATACGTTGAAAGGTATGAAGAAGCTATACGGAAATCGTGCCTTATGGTCGGAAAGATCAATGAATGGATAGACCTCAAGAAGACTGGTAGCTCAGTAGAGCTATATCAGTAAGTTGGATAATCCTTTGAATTAAAAAAAAGAAATAAAGAATAGAGAGTGTACTTGTTAGCCTTGAATAAGTCAGCAGGTTTTTTTTTAAATTGGCCATTAAATGATGAAGGTCTTAGATATTTGGAGGCAAATGTTTAACGCAAAGCTTTTTCATGCATATAAATTAATTAAAGCCTCATTAGAATCTACACATGTGAACAAAAAGACAATGGATTAAAAATATAATTTGCAATCAATAAAGAAAGATTTTTATATTGCAACCATGCCTATTACAAACCACAACCTGCTGATTGTTTAATAAAACTATGTCTAATTATACTAATTTGTTTTGTAGTAGTTTATTAGCCTTTTTCTTGTACGATTTTTGAAAATTTAATTTCAGGGCTATCCTTGGTGGAATGTTAGGTTCTGCAATTTTAAAAGATGGAATGCCTTTTGCACTCCATTATGTTATGTTTATACCCGCTATTCTGGGCCAAGGAACATTAGAACAGCAGGCTTACTGGATCGGGCGAGCTTGGAACTGCCAAATAATGGGAACTTATGCCCAAGTAAATAGATAAATTGGGCATAAATATCGAGCAATATTTTTATTCTGTGGTCTGTTTAGACAGAGTTAGGACATGGGACATTCATCCGTGGTCTTGAGACGACTGCTCATTACGATCCGACTACTGAGGAATTTATTTTAAACAGTCCCACGCTTACATCTTACAAATGGTGGCCTGGTGGATGTAAGTGTCTTTTAACAATGTACATTATTATAATTATAATTTTAGCCTTATCTTGATTATTTAAATAAAAATACAAACAAATAGTTTGCATTACGTAGTCAATTAATATTACACCCATAACTTATTTTTGTTTTGTGACATGTAATTTTATCTTATCAGATTATGACTCTGCATTATTTTATATTCGATTATTTGTTTGCTAGTCCATTTATTATTGTCAATTCTGGTACTGATATCGAATTCACACAGGGTATGAAAGTTCAACTTTTCAAGTGGGAACTTTATTTTATGGGATGTTTCGGGCATTACCAAATCTGCAGCTGTTATTTAACTTTATAAAAACATTGGTTAATCATGGTGTAAATTAACACCTTGTACTGGCTTATTGAAAGTGGAACGTTACCAAGTTAGACAAGTTGTACTTTCATACCTAATGTATGAATAAATAGGGTGTCATATTTGCCCAATAAGTAGAATAAAAAAGAATAAATAAAAGTTCACGATGTAGAATTATTTTATAAACAACTATTTCCTACATCAATTTAATTAAAATATTTGATAAATGGTGTTTTAAGATTAAGAAATTAATGTTTTTTTACTGTGAAAAATAGTTTCAAAAGGATAATTTTTGTAATTATTGCCAATATGCCAATGGCTGTATCTAGGAGTGGAACAATGCACATACAAAGAATCTAGAGGCAAGATAAGCCTAAATGTCACTCATTAAAAACAATGAACAAACAAATAATAACAAACAACTTAATATAAAAATAATTTAAAATAGTTCATATTCATTTTTTCAGTAGGACAGACTTCAAACTATGCTATTGTTGTTGCCCAGCTTTATACAAAGGGTGAATGCCATGGAATTCACCCTTTTGTTGTCCAGCTAAGGGATGAAGAATCACATATGCCTCTGCCAGGTATTTTGATGAAAAAACTTTCACCGATATATAGATATTTCAACGTTTTATCGTTCTCAGGGATAGACATCGGCGAGATTGGGTGCAAAATGGGAATGAATGGTACTAATCAGGGTTATCTTGGCTTCAAAAAATTTCGTATCCCCAGGGACCAGATGTTGATGAAAAACTCTCAAGTTTTAAAGGTAAATCTTGACTGTTTTGAATATATGGTGCAAATCTATAAACGTTAACTTTTTCAGGATGGAACATATGTAAAATCGCCAAGCGATAAATTGACATATGGAACGATGATATTTGTCCGAGTAGCTTTAATTAAAGGGGTTTCATTGTCTTATTTATCTAAAGCTGTGACAATAGCTACAAGATACAGTGCAGTTAGAAGACAATCAGAATTGAGGCCTGGGTACAGTTAACTCTACTGACCTCAATTAATTATAGAAATTATTTAACCTATTAAATTTTTTTTAGAGAAGCGGAACCTTTGATTATGGAATACAAAACACAACAGTATAAATTATTCCCCAATATTGCATCTGCCTTCGGAATGTTGTTTTCAGCAAATTGGCTGTGGAGTATGTATCATAGTGTGACTTCAGAACTTGAACAAGGAGATTTGGAACGTCTCCCTGAAGTAAATATAATCTTATTTTAAATTTGTTTATTATTAGTATTAAAAATTATAAGTACAATAATAATTAATATTAAAAATGAATAATGTTTAGATGCATGCGATTGCTTGTTGTCTAAAAGCAGTCTCGACCTCAGATGCTGCAAGAGGAATAGAAGAATGCAGGAAAGCATGTGGAGGTCATGGATATATGACTTGTAGCAATTTACCGTTTTCGTACGGTATGGCGACTGCTGCAGAAACGTACGAAGGAGAAAACACCGTTCTGTACCTCCAAACTGCCAGGTGAAAATTTATTAGCAAATTGTTTAAATATAAGCTAATTTGAAATTGTTTAAGGTTTTTAATGAAGGCTTGGTACCAAGCAAGAACTGGGACGAAACTACCACTAACTACTGCTTATCTTACCCAAAACGAAAGCTTGACAAAATTTCCTTGGAGCAATACTATGTTAAATGTTATAGCTGCATACCGCCAAGTAGCTTATGGGTAAAAACTTTATAAAAAAAAAAAAGCACTATTCCAATAAATACTGTTTTATTACTAAAATATTCAATATTGTTTGTATTTTCAGACTAATTAAAGAAACAACAGGTAAAGTTGATAGGATGATTGCAACAGGAGTACAGCAAGAAGATGCCTGGAATAATTATTCTATCAGCCTTGTTCAATGCGCACAGGTACTGATTACTGGAACCAAAATCAATTCAATTATGTATATCTAGCGTAGATAATTTAAAATATATATGTCATGACAAGGCTATTTTTTAAGAAGAACAAGTTTTCAGGAAGAATAACTTGTTTTAATAGATTTATTGATCAGAAAAATGTGATTAATGTATTACTTTTTATTGTAATTGTAACTTTGTTTTGCATAAAGAACTTTTAGTAAATCCACACAGGGTTCAATAATTGTTTGGTTATTTCAAAACATAATGAAAGACATTTTTTTGTCTAACTATTTGCATAGGGGACTGCGGTAGCCGAGCGGTTAGCATGAGAGACTCTCACGCCGCGGTCGTGGGTTCGATTCCCACCGTTGCCTCTGGCCCTTTTTTCACGATAACCCCCTTAATTTGAACACACATATAAGAATTGTCACCATGGCTAATATGCATAGTTCATAACGAAGAAAAAAAAAAAAAAAAAAAAAAAAAAAAAACCTATTTGCGTAACTAATTAATATTTAATGAACAATTAGAATGAGGATGTAAAAGCCGAACCAACACATTTTGTGTCTTCTTTGGACGCTCAAGAATCCCCTCCAAAGAAAAGCTCAAGAAATGCAAAATAGTTAAGCCGGAGGGACTGTAGCTGCCATGGGAAGGAATGCATCTGGGGAGATTTGCAAAAGGTTTGGGCTACCAAAATGGTAGTAATTTTTCACTAGTAGTTAGTCAGTGGTTGACACGAGTACAGACCATTTGAGTTGAGTTGACTTGTCAGTGAGTTGACATTCGGCAGTTGGTCAAAAGTCAGTTACAGTTTAGAGGTTAGAGTTAGTCATTGGTCAGCGCCCAGTGATGAGCTAGAATTTGGATTTTGCATGCGGCAGTTGCTGGTTGCAGAACTGTAGACGATTGAGTTAGATCTTTTTTAGAGTTTTATGAAGTGTGTGAGCTTTGGAGGGGGTGTCAGGCTTCAGCTTAGCCACCTTTGTGGATTTTAAGCAGTTAATAAAAATTGTTTTGGAATGTGAACACGTGGATTACATTTTTATCGCCCAATTTGGAAGAAGTTGATTTGGAAGAAAGACAAATCCTAACAACTGTAGACTCACTATTTCTCTCTGAGACTCTGTCTCTCATCCCTCAATATATGGCATATATTATCTGAATTTTTTTCGATAAAACAGTAGTTTAATGTTTTTAAATTTTTAAATATTTCCAGTGATACTGAAACTTTAACATCTTTGATGCTAGCCTTAAATAAATTTTGTTTTGTACTCTTTACCCACATTATAAATTTTAACAATTTTTTAAAATATAAATTTCAGGCACATTGTAGGTTGTTCATGATTGAAAAATTTTTCGCGTCAGTTAAAGAAGCAAACGTAAGCCCTCATTTGAGAACTGTTCTTATGCAACTGTGTGAGCTCTATGGAGTCTACTTTCTCCTTAACAACCTTGGCTTTTTCCTTATGGTAAAAATATTTCAAAATAATATACCATTCGATTAAAAATAATCAAATATATATTTTCAGTATTCTTCCGTGAGGATTGGTGACATCTCCTCTATACAAGATTGGCAGGACTCTTTATTGGCTGTGTTACGCCCAAACGCGGTTTCTATTGTAGATAGTTTTGATATCTGTGATGAAATATTATCATCGCCGTTAGGAGCATATGACGGCAATGTTTATGAGCGGTTATTTGAAGAGGCTAATAAAAGTCCTCTAAATGCGAAACCGGTCAATTCTTCTTTTGAGAAATATTTGAAACCTTTCTTAAAATCCAACTTATAACCAAATGTTTACACTCGGGCCCATTATTTTAATTTTATTTTTAATTTATTACGTTTTAAATGTTATAGACATTAACATATTTTATATAGTTCTGTACATATGTACCTAGTTTAAAGTGGTGTGTTTTTAATTGGTTGCATTTTTGTGAAAACCTTGTATTTTTATTATTTATCACATTCCATCAACATTTGTCAGAGTAATTACTCATAGCTTTTGTAATTGTGATCCTTTTATAAAAATTTTAAAGAAAAATGATATATTTTTATACACAGTGAGTTGTGGCTTCTTCCACTTGAAGCTTAGTTTTAAAAACTTATCAAATGTGATTGATACATTTTTTAACTGTTATGCAAATAAACATATATTGAAATTTCTTCCTATTGTTTGATAATTACCTACCATCCTGGTCTGCTTATCCTCGCCGATATATATATTGAAATGTTTGTATTGTTTTTGTTTTTCATCGTTATTATTTATTTTGTGGTTGTTTTTTATTTATTTTGAAGTATGTTTATGTTATTCATTCAACCTGCTTTGTCATAATATCGTCCATGAGAGCATAACTTCCAACTACATATTGGATATTCAAGCAATATTGCTATGTTACAATATTATGATGATTAATATTGGATTTTTCAGTCAAATTAATAATTTTTTCAACCAATTTAATAATCGTCTCAATCAATTTAATAATAGTTTCATTCAATGTAATAATCTCCTAAACTAATTTAATAATCGTCCTTTTTGGGATTTTATAGTTGGGGAGTAAATAAATACGAGCTAGAAGTTGCAAACACCTTTACTTAAATTAAAAAAAGTTTTTATTAAATTATTTAATCCAAATATTGGAAAAATGATAATCGGTAACAGCTTATTATTTTGGGATTTTTTTACGTGAGCTGTGTACAAAACTTGATGGGCTTACATTAAGTAACGCATTTCTCGTTTTGGACAATGCCTGGATCCATAAAACTGCTAAGTTAAAGAGGTTGTGGAGTTATTTTCTCATATGATTATTTTTCTGCTGCCCTACTCGCCAACTCTAAATCCTGCAGAATATGCATTCCCCTAGATTGACAGCTGTGAGGACCCTGTTAGCTGAAGCCAAAGGACCATACAACTTAAGTGAAATATTAAGCTGCAGCATCAATTCAATTTCTGAACTGAATGCACCAATTTTGCAAATGGATGTCCTTTTGAAGCTGCTGCAAAACTGCCACTCCATTAATTGTTGTTAAAATTATCATTTTTTCAATATTTTATTTTTTGATTAAATAATTTTTTTTTTTTTTAAATTTAAATAAAGGTTTTCACAACTACTTGCTTCTATTTATTTTTTCCCTGACTATAAAATCCTTAAAGGGATGGTTATTAAAATTAATTTTTTGATAGGTCCATCCTAATTTTGTAGAGCTCCCTAATAAGTTGATGGGTAGGAAATAAATTGTCTTTTCCTACCCATCAACTTATTATTAAATTAATTGAGGTGATTATTAAATAGAACAAAACAATTATTAAATTGAATGAAACGGTTATTAAATTTGTTGAGACAATCATTAAATTGAATGAGACAATTATTAAATGGGTTGAAAAAATATTAATTTGACTATTATTTGGAGATCGTGAGATGTGACGTAGGTTTAGAAAAACATTTTCTTTATTGTGCCAATGTTTCGATCTATGTTTGAATATTGGTTAATTTTGAAATTAATTCATTTTAGAAAACCAAAAAGGAAGTAAGAAAACCTTAAAAAGAAATGAAAAAGATGGCATTAATAAAGAAAAAGAAAAATAATTGTTTAAACATTCATAAATTCCCACCAAAGAGTTTTACTTTCTTGCGCTATTTTTATAATATTTTTGACAGATGTCTTGTAAGTGTGTACCAATGATTTAAATTATTATATATTATTATTTGGAGATCGTGAGATGCGGTCTGGTAGGATGTAGGTTTCAGAAAAACATTTTCTTTATCATGCCAACATTTTGATTTATGTGTTTGAATATTAGTTAATTGTGAAATTAATTCATTTTAGAAAACCAAAAAGGAAGTAAGAAAACCTTAAAAAGAAATGAAAAAGATGGCATTAATAAAGAAATAGAAAAATAATTTTTTAAACATTCTCAAACTCCCTCCAAAGAGTTTTACTTTCTTGCGCTATTTGTCTAATATTTTTGACAGAAGTCTTGTAAGTGTGCACCAATGATTTAAATTATTATATATTATTATTTGGAGATCGTGAGATGCGGTCTGGTGTGATGTAGGTTTCAGAAAAACATTTTCTTTATTGTGCCAACGTTTCGATCTTTATTGAGATCATCTTCAGGGCTCAAAGTGTTTGTCTTCTGTGTAATTGTGCCATTCTTGCGTGTCATGTCGAGAGTGGCACGGTCACTACACATACCACACATTGTTTAAATTATACAAATACATGTAGGATGTGGGAAAAAAATGAATTTATACAATGCTAAAAATTTTAGACTCAAAGTATTTGTACTCACTCAAAGTGTTAGTTGTGTCAAAGTGAGTACAGATACTTTGAGTGAGTCTAAAATTTCTAGCATTGTATAAATTCATTTTTTCACATGCTATATGTATTTGTATAATTTAAACAATGTTTATAAATCCCAGGCCCTGAAGAAGATTTCAATAAAGATTGAAACGTTGGTATGATAAAGAAAATGTTTTTCTAAACCTACGTCACACCATACCGCTTCTCATGATCTCCAAATAATCATCAACTAACGGTCACTAAACGCCACACATTAATTTGGCTGAAAAATGCAATGTATTATTAATCCATATATGTTTAGCAGTCATAACCTATTTAATTATTTCAATTAATTGCTAAACCAAAACTTTATAAAAAAAAAAAGTATAATTAGTTGATGTATATTATGATAAAAAGCTAAGTAGTGAAAGATAAAAAGACTGTTCTTTAAATCGTTAATTTTTGATTCTATTTATAGAAATACAAATTGCTCTGTCATTTCATTATGTAAAAATATAAGTGGATTATAAATTAAGTCGCAAAGGTAAGAACAATAAGAATTACAATTGTATAAATTAATTATTAATCAATTATACAGGCTTGCTTATAATTCGGTGGTGTCTTTTCATTTGATTAATGTTCACCTTTAAGGGCGCTAGCCTTAGTTCAAAATGGAATCTAAAACCATGAAAGTCAATCCAATACTGGTCAAAGAAAGAGAAAAAGCCACTTTCAATTCTGAAGAATTTACCAACGTATTTGACGGTGGGGCAGATAATACAAACATCAGACGAAGATTAAGTAAGACTTTAAATTTCACTGAAAGCTCTCAAAGCAGTTGTCTATATCTAAAAAATAAAGATTTAAAGTAAAGATTGTTATATTAGCTATTTCTTATTAGTAAGCGCAAATACAAAAATTATTTTCTCTGTCTGTAAAAACTTAAAAAAAAGTATTGTTCTTAGAATTTCATAGAAAGAAAATAATAATGATTGTTATATCACTAAGATTGTCAATTTATCATTTATAGCTGATTTCTTTATGAACGATGAAAGATTTGATGATAATGTTCCTATTGAGTATTTAAGTTATGCTGAAAGATACGAAGAAGCCTTAAAGCGGTCTTGTATTTTGTTTGAGAAGCTAATCGAATGGCAGCAAACTCATGGGGACGGTATAGAAATTTTCAGGTAAATTGTTAACAGTATATAAAAATATATAAATTAATTACCTTATTATTAGAACTGTTCTCGGAGGGAATATCGCAGATGCTCTTATTAAAGACGGAATGCCACTTGTGATAAATTACACTATGTTCCTACCTGCGATTTTCAATATGGGAAATATAGATCAACAAGCCAAATGGATTGAACGGGTGTTGAAAATGCAGATAATAGGAACATACGCTCAGGTAAATAATTGGTTAAAAAAGTAAATAGCTTATCTGAAATTGAAAATATTAAATTGTTCAGTCAGAACTCGGTCATGGTTCCTTTGTAAGGGGTATAGAGACCACTGCAACGTACGATCCAAAGACTGAAGAATTTATTTTGAATACACCCACCCTTACTTCACACAAATGGTGGCCTGCCGGGTGTAAGAATGCCAATGGCTATGACTTTGATACACAATACTAATTTGTTTTAAAAATACAGTGGGACATACAGCAAATTATGCGGTGGTGTTCGCTCAACTGTGTTCACAAGAAAAATGTTATGGTCCGCATGCGTTTTTAATGCAGCTTCGTAACGAGGAAACTCACATGCCTCTTCCAGGTATGGTCTGGGTATAGATACTTAAATTTTTGCCTTTAAATTAAGCAGTGATTTTTATTTTTGTAACTACCAATTACAGGAATTACCATTGGAGAACTTGGAAGCAAACTGGGTCTAAATGGAATCAATCAAGGATTTATGGGTCTCAATAATGTGAGGATACCACGAGCAAACATGTTAATGAAAAGTGCTGAAATTCTAAAGGTGATTTGTCCACAATATACTTAAAGAGAAAAATTGAGCATTTTTCTCAATCAAAAATTTTTGATTAATTAGTGTGAAATGTTAAATTGACAAAATGGTAAAATCAAAAAACACCTGAACTTGCTTAAATAACAATTTCACTCAAATCAAAAAGGTTTCCTTTTCTAACGATCATTCATTCAATATATCGGTGTTTTAATTTTTAAGCCCTTTTGTCGTTTTCTTACTGCTAATAAGTAAGGGGATATTCATCACCATAAAACAATTAGCACAGTGGTGATCTGAACTTAATTTTTTATCAATTAATTATTCTTTGTATGTAAGGTCTTGGCTGAAATGAAAAAAATAGTGTCATGAGCGGGATTTGAACCCATGACCTTCAGCTCGAAGGTGGATTCAAATCCCACTCATGACACTAACTTTTTCATTCCAGCTAAGACCTAACATACAAAGAATAATTAATTGAAAGAAGTAATTTGGTCAATCAGAACACTAAACATAATGGATTTAATTTTTTTTTTCAACTACAATGTTATATCAACTTTTGGGGTTCAGTGTCAAAAATAAAAACCAATTTGTTAAGTACTCTAGGTTTGAATTCAGGTCCTATGCGATTTGAACTCGGGACCTTTACAATGATGAGTTGCTGCTCTAACATATGAACGATTAATCCTTAAAACCCAGTTAGTAGTTCAGAAACCAACTTCTTCATAATGAAGGAAAGCCTTTTAGATTGCTGGGTATAGTTGAGAATACTTACAATTAATTAAAGTTTTCAGTTGAGATAAAAAAGTCAATGGCATGAGCGGGATTCGAACCCACGATCTTCAGCTTGATACGCCGCTGCTCTCCCACTTGAGCTATCGTGACCTCGATCCACTCAGACACTAACTTCACATCTCAACCACACTTTTTGAATTTCCCTCCTTTTTTGCCATTTTTCAAGATTGTGGGTTCGAATCCTGCTTGTGCCATTGACTTTTTTATCTCAACTGAAAACCTTAATTAATTGTAAGATATTAATAGGTTAAGAGGACCACGAAACTAGTGAAGTTGAGCATACTGCTCACACGAATTTTTAATAATGTGATGATTCTAACCGAATCCAAAATTTTGTGTTCTAACTGTCCCTTTTTATTATCTTATTATTACTTATTTTTACTATATTTTTTACCCTCGAGATATGTTTTGGAAAAAAATGTAAATATGTTAGTTTGAATGCAGGGCTACTGGATTTGAACCCAGGTCCTTTACCTTACAGTGATGAGTACTGTATTAACACTTTAATCATTACAGTCACCAACTCCTCCAATTCTTTAAAACCATAAAATGCTAACTATAATACCATTTTGTATTATATTCAATGTAAATTTAATTATTAAGAAAGTAAAAATATTGAGTGGCCACCTTTTTTGCCCTTTATGGTCTATACTAAAAAAAAATTAGCATTGGTACAAACATATTTTGAATAAGTAAAATAATTGTGTAAAATATGTTTGTACCAATGCACTATTTTTTTCTCTAAAAATACACGAACCTTTCTTAAGGCATGGCCTACAAATGTTCAGTAAGAGAACTAACTATAAATTTTATAATAATTATGCTGATGATTTTAATACATATTATTTATGATTTCAATACATATTAATTATAACTTGTTTTGCATAGTAGGATGGTACCTATGTTAAAAATCCATCAACAAAGAAAAGCAATTATGGAACGATGATGATGGTCAGAGTTATTCTTGTCAAATGGACTGTGTGCATTGCTCTCGCTAAAGCAGTTACGATTGCCACAAGATACAGTTGTGTACGAAAACAATCTGAAATGAGACCAGGGTAATTAAAAAATAAATAAATTGATCAATGAATTTATGTATATCAAAACTATTTTGAAAGAGAGGGCGAGTGTTATGTAATTGAATACAAAACACAACAATACAAATTATTCCCACATATCGCTTCAGTTATGATGATTTCTAATGCTGCTTTATATCTAACACAAATGCACGATTCGACAAAATTAGATATTCATAACTCTGAACTGGATGAGACCATTGCTGAGGTAAAGATGCTATTAAGTTGTGTAGTAGGTCAAATTATGGCCTTACTATTTTAGATACATGCTCTATCTTGTTGTCTAAAAGCGTTGACAGCAACGGATGCTGTACGCGGAATAGAAGAGTGTAGAAAAGCATGTGGAGGTCAAGGATATTTAACTTCAAGCGGGTTTCCAAATCTTTATAGCTCTACAACCGCTGTGGAAACGTATGAAGGAGAAACAACCGTTTTAATGCTTCAAACTGGGAGGTAAGGAAAATTATAATTATAAAATTTTTAAAATTACAATCTGCAATTTTTGTTTACATTGTGTAATTTGAGCATACATAGAAATGTTACAGCTAGAGTTTATATAATAACTAGAGAAATTACTTTTAAGAGAATAATTAATCAATTTTATCCCACTTCACTACACTAATAAAACATCTTGCCTTCTCCGAAAAGAGGTCGCAGGGCTATTTCTTCTTGAGACACCTTATGGGATTGTAGGGAAGGATTTGTTGGACAAGGCTTGAGCAAGACATAGGGATAGAAGAGAGATAATTGTTGAACTTGGTAAATTTGTGAGGAATTATTTTTGGATAAATAAAATTGTAAGGTTGTTGTGGAAGTAGTACTGGAAGGAAGGTCTAGTAGTTCCTCAGTTCTATTCCATATTTTCAAACCAGTTGTAGTAGCGCTTTGTATGAGTGATTTATTGTTTTTTAAAGGTATTTATTAAAAATGTGGAAACAAGCAAATCAAGGTATAAAATTGGCTGGATTGATGGAATATTACAACACACACGCTTCAAAAACAGATATCCCATGGAGAAACACATTTCATAACTTAAATGATGCTTATAAGCGCGTCGCAATTGGGTAAATTTATTATTATTGCTATTTAAACATAATTATTAAATTTTCAAAACATAACTTTCAGATTAATCAGAGATACGTCACTGAAAATTGATTGTATGATGTCATCTGGTGTTATTCGTGAAGAAGCATGGAACATTTACTCGAACAACTTGGTGCTATGTGCTGAGGTACAAATATAATACATTAAAAAAATGTACATATTTATAATTCATTTTTTTGTAGGCACATTGCCGTTCCTTCATGATGGATCGATATGAACGATTGATAAACACAGAAACTTTATCCCAAGAGCTTAGGAATGTGCTAACACAGTTGGGCGAGCTGTACGGGGTTTATTACTTATTGAAAAACTTCGGGTACTTCATAATGGTGAGAGTTCAATCGCTTCATTGAGCCTTATTGAAATTGAACTAATTCCATTTCCAGTACACAAATATACAAAACGAAGATATAAGTTCGATTAGAGACTGGCAGAATTCATTGCTGACTGCAATAAGACCGAATGCAATTCCTATTGTCGACAGTTTTGACATTTCGGACAAAGTTCTTCAGTCTGCAATTGGTGCTTATGATGGAAATGTTTACGAACGGCTTTTTTCTGAAGCAAAAAAGAGCCCACTCAACTCTCAACCAGTACCTGCTGCTTTTGAAAAGTACATAAAACCATTGAAATCACGATTGTGACTTTTGCAATTATTTGTTTCAACCTGTGGCTAAATATTAAATTAATTTCTTTTGAGAACAAATAATTACAATTATCAATGAAATTGTTTATAATGTGATTAATATATAATCAAATTAAAAAAAAATGATTTTCTTCAATTTGTTCAATTGTACTATGGTGGTCTACTAAAACAATTTTATTAAATGTAAAATTGAATTTTAAAATTTCAAATAAACCATTTTTATGACAGGAAAGACTTTTTGTGAGGTCTACTACCTGGAAAGGCTTAAAAGAAAAATGGGTCAAAGGCTCAAGGGTCTAATCTTTCACAGTTGAAACTTTGAAAGGGCCTTGTGCTGCAAGTACTGTTACAGGTTTATTGTACTGTGCAGATGGTTCTAAAATGCTGTCCAATTTGTGACAACAAATAAAACAAAACGAGAAGAAAGTTGATTTCTGTTTTAATTAAAATTGAGGTATACGGATGTTTTCAAGACTATTAAATAAGCGAAACAGAAAAATATATAAAAAGATTTATTATTCTATTTAAAATATAATAGGAATGTCAAAGTGCTAAACCAAACTAATGCAATAAATCTGAACACATTTTTATATATTTTGTTATACGTTTTGATCTTTTCATCAACTTTTTTAACAGTTTGTCTTTGGTTTTCTAAAATACAGTTTCACTTTGCTAGTTACTTTACTATAAAAAAAGGCAAATATTTATGGTATCATGAAATAGAAAAATTAAAATTATCTAAGAAAGTAAACATTGCAAACCAATTGAATTTTTAAACGGTAATTAATGAGCTAAAAAGGATTTGACAAGATGAACAATTTTTTTTATAATATAAATAAAAATATTTACAAACTTCACAATATATATTTTTTAAATGGCAATATATATATATTTATATATAAGTAATATAAAGGTAAAACTTTAAATTTAGGAACTATAGTTATTTTCAGTATAAATCAGTCTTGAGGTGTCATGCAATTTATTATGACTGTGTATGTCTTTTAAGAGTATATAAGAACAACATACACGACAATAGGCGGTCGCATCATTAATGGCGTATGTGTTTTGTCTTCTTTCACCTTGGTAGTTCAGAAGTTGAAATCCTTTCGATTTTGTCGATTCTTCTTGAGGTAACTGTTTCATGTTAGCAGTGCTTGTTATATCTATGAATGATGATATTTTAAAATTGGGGCTTTCTCTTCTTGCCCTCTTGTGCCTACCATCGTCAAGATAATCGTTTTCGTTTTTATAATGGTTGTGCATTTCCATGTGTTTAGAAATTTCATTGATGTTTACGTTTAAGGAACATATACCGCAGACTAGGGTGTCTGGATTTTTCAAACTTGGGTAGTTTGCAGTTAGCGAGTAATTTGTAGGCATCGCATCGATTTGGAAAGGCTGAGCCTGTTCTAACTCATTTATCGTTTGAAAACCCAATTCATGAGTCTGGATATCAGATGAGGAAGGCGTTGAAGAAAGTTCAAAGTGTCTGTCTTTGAGCAGAAAATGGTAGTCTGATCTTTTGAAGGAATTGATACATTTATGCGACTCGATATCTGACGATGCAACTGTTGTGAAACATAACTGACAATAAAAGCTTTTTACAGCATTTTGTGGGATTTCTGAACTGCTTTCAGAATCTTCATTGCTGTCAGGATAGATTTCCCTCTCTTGTTTAATTTCCAGCGAATCTTCTTCGCTGGGTGCGGTGTTTGAAGATGTTGAAGTTGGATATTCCTCATTCTCTTCGTCTGTAGACTCCTTGTCCGGATCACGACTGACGACAGCGCCGTTGTTCTCTTCCCAATTGTGCTCACGTTTCTTGTGGAATTTGATCATTGTCTTGCTCTTGCATCTGAATTTGCATTCAGTGCAATAGTACGGCTTGTCACCAGTGTGCGACTTCATGTGATTGGGCATGTCATTGGATTTAATGTATTCAAAACAATACGGGCATTGATGATTGATTTTTCCAGCGTGTGACTTCATGTGATCCCTCAATTCGCTTCCTTTGACATATGTCGAACAAATCATGCACAACCTTGGCCAATCCATTTTTTTAGTTGACATTTCCTTTGGTAACCTTTTTATTTTCCTGCAAGCATTGAGGTTTAGTTTTAAAGAACAACTTAAGAACTAAAAAAATTAAAGATAATTAATTTTCAAGGTACATGTTATAATCAATATTGGTAAATATTCATACTATTATTTAAAAATCAAGCTGACATGCATATTTTTTAATGATTAAATTATATAATGTTAGTGAATGATCATCAACCAATTACTAAATTACTTAGCTATCAAATTCTAAAAGTTTATTTTAACTCTTATCTAATAAAATTGTGTTAAAAACACAAAATTGTACAAATATTTTTCAACTCACTGCACGTTGTTTTTACATCCTTTAATTTATTAGTTTATTCAATAAAATTGGTCCACATCAACACATCTCTTTTTTTAATCCTTCAATAATTGTCTCCATCGATCAAATGATTTTTCTGGATCCTGAAAATGTAGGCAGACTCAACTAAGTGCATGCGATGATGCGATGAGGTATGACAATTGAAATCGTTAGAGAAATTCACCCTAGCGGGAACAGTGATGACAGAAGGATTAATAATAAATTTGTTGTTCAAAGAAAGGATTATAACTGAATTTTATCAAACTTCATCAAAGGGGAAACATTTCAAGACAGATTGGGTAAATTAAAATTAGATTAAAAGGATGAAAAGTAAAGCAAAACATAGCAGAGAATTGTGAATATTGAAATGAAGAGAAGGTGTAGAAAATAAATGAACAACAATGAAACCGGAGACAAACTTAAAGAAAAAAAATGAATAGGCAAGAATGGAAAATATGTTTATAGAGGACAGACTAATTTAATTTTCTAAATGGGAGTAGAAAAATACACGGAGCAATAAAAATATCAACAATTGAATGAGGAAATTGGTAAATAAAAAATTGTAGAAAATGCAAGAAATTTGGCTGAACTGTGTAAACCTGAAAAACAATAAAATTTTGGGGGGAAAACTAAAATTGCAAATTTTTTAAATCTTAGGCTGAAATTGAGAAATTTGTAACAGAAAAGAACAGAATATGCGAATACCGAGAAAATCGGAGAAAAAAATCGTGCATACTGAACTGTAATCGGTTGAGAAATATTTTTTTTTGTAAGTGATATTGTAATATTTTAAAATTCAATTTTAGGCAAATTATAGGGTACTAAGTTATCTAAAAAACTAAGCCAACTCGGTTTTTGAGAAACTTGAAAATTAATGGGGACAAAAAAAAAAAAAAAAAAAAAAAAAAAAAAAAAAAAAAAAAAGGGGGGGAAAAAAAAAAAAAAAAAATCGCATCAGAATAGCAAGTTAATTACAAGTCCATGCTGAAGTTTATAAATAATGTACAATAATACTATGCTTGTCCTAAATGTTGGATAAGAAATAAAAATACAAAAATACGAACTAGGAAAAACTGAGTTTAAAAAAATCAGAACAGGTAAGAAAAATAAAAAAAAAAACCGAAAGGGCCGAATCGTGAACACTGGTTTGTAAAAGGATGAAAAATATATTTATTGTTTCTGAAATAGTATTACATATTTTAAAAATCGAGTCGAAGTTGAGACGCGTAATAGAATACTACGCGGAATTTAAACAAAGAAAAAGAAAGCTAGGAAAAATTCAGCGAACCCGAGTGGACAAACATAAGAAACCAGAAAGGATATGGGTCGAATCGTGAATACTGATTTGTAAAAGTTTGAGAAATATACTTTTTGTTGGTAAAATTAAAATATTTTAAAGAATTAGACATATTATAACACACTAGCAGTATATAAAAGCAAACAAAGAAAAAGAAAACTAGGAAAAATTCGGCCAGCTCGAGTTTATAACAAGTTAAAAATTAAAGGAGAGAAAATTCTAAGAAATCAGTAAGCACAGGACGAGAATCGACATTAGCAGTAGAATGGCAAGTTAATTTGTAAAAGATGAGGAATTTACTTTTTGTTATAGCTATTATACTATTTTAAAGATGGCATTGAAATGAGTCACATAGCATACTACGAGACAAGCAAAGAAAAAAAGAAACTACGAAAAATTCTAATAAGGTCAAATTTATTAAAATCTATAAGTGAAGATTAAAGAAGATAAAAGTAAATGAATCCTAAGAGATCAGTAAGAATAAGGCGAGAATCTTGAATAGTTTATAAAGGGCTGAAAAAATATATTAAAAAAATCGAGTTGACTTTTAGAGAAGCCTAAAAATTAAACGAAAGAAAATCTTAAAAGGCCAGTAAAATAAGGGCATAATAGTGAGTAATGATATGAAAAAGGATGAGAATTCTTTTATCATAAAAGATGAATGAATGAAAATCATTACGAATTCATGCAGAGTTTTACACATACTGTATAACAAACTATGCTCTACCTAAACCAGGGGTAAAAAAATAAATAAAACGCAAGTTATGAAAATTCAGCCAGGCCAAATGAATAAAATTCTAACAATTAAAGGAGAGAAAAGTAAAGAAAAAAAAAGAGGAGAGAGAGAGAGAGAGGAGAGAGAGAGAGAGGAGAGAGAGAGAGGAGAGAGAGAGAGAGAGAGAGAGAGAGAGAGAGAGAGAGAGAGAGAGAGAGCTTTTAGAGAAGCCTCAAAATTGATAATAGTTAATATCAGGAAATTGGTAAGTTATTAGTTCATATATGTTGCATGCATAACATACTTTGCTTGTTATTAATAAATTCATGCTGAAATTGTATTACTTTATAACACAAGAAATAAAAATAAAAACAAAACGCTAACTAGGAAAAAATAAAAAAATAACATATAGAAATGGTCCATGAAAAAAAGAAGGATAATAAACAAGCAAAAGAAAACAAGAAAAAAATTAGAAAGAAAAAACAGGATATAACAGAATGCAAATTATATTTTATTTGTAAAATCACATTTATGTATAAATTTATGATGAAATTATATTTATTGAATACAACTACGCTTTCCTAAAAGAAATAAAATAAAAACAAAAAACAAACTAGGAAAAGAAATAACACGATAGAGATCGTCCATGATGAAAAAATGAGGGATAATAAGTAACAAAAAGAAGACCATAATGTATTTAAAGAACGGATTATAAAAGAATGAAAATTATATTTTATCAGAAAATTGCAATTTTTTGTATAAAGCCATGATGAAGTTTATATTCACTGTATAACGCTACGCATTACCAAACGAAATAAAAATTAAACAAAACGCAAACGGAAAAAATAAGTACTGGCCGAGATCGTCTATGGTGACAAAAACAATTATAATAATCAATAAAAAAAATAAATAAATAAAAATAAAATAAAGATATAATGAAAAATGGCTTGAATAGAATTAAAGTTATATTTGATCGTAAAATCGCAATTTATGTATACATTCATGAAGAAGTTTATATTTACTGAATAACACTGTGCTTTACAAATAAAAACAAAACTCAACCTTGAAAAAAAGCACTGTACAGATCGTCCAAGGTGGAAAATAGGATGTACAATAAACAAGAAAAAAATTAGAAAGAAAAACAGAATAAACAATATATTTCATCAGTAAAATAGCAATTTATGTAAGTTATATAATAATAATTCGTATGAATTCATGCTGAAGTTTATATTTACTGTAGAACGTACTTCGTTTAATAATCACAAAATAAAATTATACAATCTGCTCTAGACTATAAAATATGCAATAATAATAAATTGGACGATATTTATGAAAATGGCCAGCGGGTGTATTTCTGAAATGAACTATTCAAAACAAACAAGTGCATGCAACAGGTGCCATTAAACCCCCGCAACTTATTCAGAATATTCTCTACAAAAAGGGGATTTATAAATAGATCACAAAATATATATTTTTCTTTTTCTCTTTGAATTTTAAATCCAAGATGCAAACATTCTCGGGTAAAACAATAAAGCATTTTTTTTTTATATTTGTCATGCAATAATATCAAATTCAAAAGGCAAAACTCACCTTGTTTATTACTAGCACTTTTAAAGTTGTATAATAAGTCTTTAAAGACTTAAATCTTCACTGGGAATAACAAGTTTTAAAGGGGGGTCCGAGTAAATTAGACTAGCTTGGATAAACAGATGACCACATGGTAAACACTAAACAGGGGGTCTGTAAAAAAACGCTTCACGGAATCCAAACCCCAATACTCTGCGCAGTTTCCCACCTCCTCCACCTGGAGTAGAGTTGCAAATTTATCCATCGACTTCCACAAATCGATCATCAAATTCAAGAAATAAAGATCTTTCCTTATGTATTAATTTATATTTTAACGCAAATAATAAAATGACTAAAAGCCTTATTAATCAATTAGTCCGTAATTAGTTTAATAATTTTTAAAACGAAAATTTAAAATAAAAAGTTACAATCGATTGTTAAAGCCATCATAGTTGGTACTCGTTTCCCTCGCAAAGGTTACGATTCTGTCCATGCCGTAGTTTTTTACAGTACAGTTATCCACTTGATTTTTTGAGACTTTTTTCTTCGATGATTTTATATTTCATCTATTCACGCAAATGTAGGCTGCTCATGAAGATATTATGTTTAAAATTGATGATATTGATTTCGATATTGATTTTGATGAGGTGAGTATTCATTTTTACATTTTTATGATGAATCAAATTCGATGACAATAACAAAACTACGAAATGTATGTTTTATACACTCGGTAAAAAAGTCTCCGAACACATTCAATAGACTTTAAATTAAAATAATGGATTAAAACAATTTCTTGCAACTTTAAACTGTAATCAACAGCAAAAACCCTATAACATTTAACTGAATTTAACATGCACAAATTAACAATAGATAAAGTTAGAGATAGTAATAAGTATCAAGCAAATAAGTCTGAATACATTATTTTTCATTTGTTTATTTACTGCACATCTAAATTTTGACTCAGTAATCCGTAGGTCCACCCCTACTTTTATTACCACTAATAAACTGTTTTTCATTTATTTACTTATTTTTAATGTAGTTATCTGTATTGGACATAAGTCATTTACAGTTTGGCAAATAATTAAAAATATACAGTGCCGTTAACGCTAATTGACATGAAATGAGGAAACACAGTGGCTCTCCTCCAAAATTTGAATTTTTTTAAAATTTATTTTCACAGCAAGGTCGGTATGATGTCTCGTTTAAAGCTTTCATGTGTTGGCGGCAGTGACAAAATTATTGAAGATGGTATGCGTTGATACAATTTGCTTCTTTCAATACTTTGGCGACGTATGGTACCTTTAGATCGTGGTGAAGTATAGAGTGTCGAATATACCAAAGCACATTCGTGATAATCCGTAGAACTCGATTTTGGTGAACTTGGTGACGTTTTAAGTGAGAGTCACTTGCAGACCCCAGGAAAGGGGCAAATGGGATGAAGAAATGATAGGTATAACAATCTTTTGTTGAAGGGTGAAAATGAAGATCTCTGGTCAAGGACGGGCTTTAAAAGACTGGTTTGCCCCAAAAGTCATTTAATCAGATCGCTATGTTTTGAATACCTTAATCTTTTTTTCCAGTGTGTCACATAAATATTTGACAGTCAGCTTCAGGTACCTGAGCTGCATCCATGACTATCGGTATTGTTTAAAATCTGAGATAGGTGAATGCAACTAGGGTAGACTTGAGGGTTTTTTTCATTCATATGTCATTTTTGATTCCATTCAATAAGTTTGTTAAAATGATTTTGAAATGCTTATAAACTCTTAGACCATCTTTACCTCTACTTAGTGTAGCAAGATCGTCTGTAAACATGTTGTGGAAATAGCAAATGTAAAAGAATATATTTCCTTGCAGAACTCCAGCCCGAATACATCTTGTAGCTGTAGTGACGCCATCCTGTTTGATGCTAGAGTTAAGTTAGTTATAAGATATATAAGTTCTATTGGTCAGATATGATTTCTCAAGATGGTAGTAGGATTCTGGCAGCTCTTTCTTAATTTTGAATGGAAGTCCAGAGCATCACATCTTATCAAAAGAATTAGAAGAATCAAAAGAAATAGAGCTTGACAGGTTTTTTTTCCCCATATGTGTCAATTACTCTATGCAGTTGTTGGCATGAGTGCTGGGGACAGAAACCAAATTGAAAATCAGGAATTTTGTGTTAAAAATAGTGTAGAAGTTTCAGTCAGCATCATAAGTCTTTCAAAAAATTTGGAGAACAAATTTAATAGGCTGATGGGGTGGGTGGTAGCTTTTAGGATCCTTGGAAAATTTTGTATGTTTTTAATTAATACAGCTTGTAATAAGTAATAAGTAATAATAGTAATAATATATAATAATAGTATATTATATAATAATAATAGTATATATAATAATAGTAATTTTCGAGTGATTTACAGGAGTTACTGGGTCCCCAGTGTTTCTTTCGAAGAGCACTTTTCACCTTTCTCAAATTTATTGGAATTTATAATAAGATTTAGGCCTTTTCCCAAATTGTTATACCATTGAATGCCTGCTAATGTTTGAATGAGAGTTGCAAGATTTCTTTTTTCAGAAGTTTTTGAGGCTGCCGGAGCAGAAAAATGAAATGGAAGAAAATACAAATTGCGGGGTAATGAACTGCAATGTCTAAAATCGCAATTTAAATAAGAAAAATAGCTCCCTAAAAAAAATAAAAAAATAAAAAAAGAAGTGTTATTGTGTTTTGTTTCTTATTATTGTTATGTAGAATTAGTTTATGTATCATATTTGAATGGAAGAATAAAAGGATAAGGATGAGCCTATACTCATGCTGAGACTGTTGCTAGTCTGACTCCATTATTATTATTATTATTATTAGTCATACAAGCCTATGGGAAATGTTTAAATTATGGAACAAAAATTCACAATTCTAATTTATAATTTAAAATGAGATTTTTGCATACATTTGGCCTTCCAAATTAAGAATTTTAAAAAGAAAAAAAAAAGAAAAATTAAAGCTTGGATGGCAATAGGATAAATTAGTTTACGAGTGAATGTTTGGAGTCAGAGCTTTATAGCACTCAGAAGATATATAGCTAACCTAAGATAGAAGGTTTGGATGTTAGGACATGAAATGACTTTAGCCGTTAAAACGCCCTTAAAAATTAATAATAATAATAGTAATAATAAATAGATAATAAAGGTAATAAGTAATAACAGCTTCCAAGCCGGTGGGAAATAAGGAAGGCGAAGCTTTGAGTTATAAATTGATGTAAGAAGCACCAAAGTTCTGTCTGGTAAATTCTGAAGGAATGGTTGGGTTATAAAATCAGCATCAGGTGATTTTTTTCAAGAGTGAGTGGTTTATTCTTCATTTTCACCCTGATAAAAAATGTATAAAAGAAAGGAGAGCTGGAGTGGTTGAATTATAGATATTTCTACTTTTTTTTTGTTAATTGAAACTGTATTTTATTATGAGGTTAGGTGAAAACTGTTCAAAAAGTAAATCAGAAAAATATTTGCTTTTTCATTGGGGGAAGAAACCATCTGCCCAAATGTAGAAGTAAAGAATCATAAAGGTTTTTCACTGATAGAAATTTTTTTTTACTAATTCATGTCCGGGGATGTCCTAGTCCACTCCTGTAAAATCTCTTTTTTAAGGGAGTGGGTGGGTTATATAGGTGTATTATATAGTAGTCATTCTTGAATTTTCTGAGCCATGTGTTTGGGGTAGTTGTCTGGCTGGAAACGGAAAGTCATTTCTATACCCAATTTAATAGTGCTTTCCTTTAAAATAAGTTTTAGAACAAAAGTAGATACAAGATTCCATAGATTATGTGTAAATTGCCAACTACTCCTGTATAGTCCATGCAGCCCCACAATTCTTTCTTCCATCGGGCCCTGAGACGTTAAATTTGCTATCATTGATGAAATTAATAGTCTCCCACAATGTATCAGGCTTACTTAAATGCTCTTAAGCAAACTTTTTCTTTTTCTTGCTGCTAAGCTAGTTTATATAAAAATAGTAATATATTATTTAAAAAAAATTAGAATAACTGCAATTTAGGAGGCACTTGATGGTTTGTTGGTCATTTCTTTGAGAACGGGTATGCTTTTGGATGGTGTTTAATTTTTCTGGTAGGCTTAAACACGATCTGTTCTCAGCTCTTAACTAGGAGATGATATAATGATTTGTCGCTTTTGTACATTTCTAATTTCACGAATGATTTTTCTTCATTATGCATTATAACAATTAGTTCCAGAGTGGACTGTGGTATTTCGATATTGAAGGCTAATCTCATACTAAGAAAAACATGATAATATTAAGATAATAAGAATTAATAAAAGAATCAGGATGTAGGCAGTGAATTTTGGAAAACAAAAATGTTTGCTTAGGTGTTCAGAAACTTTTTTTGTCCCTAATTGTATTCATAGTTATTATGCAAACAAATTACAATTGGAAACAAACAATTCTATAATTTATTTTTTAATTATTCAGAAATCGTGAGATGCAATCTGGTGTGATGTAGATTTCAGAAAAATCATTTTTTTCATCGTACCAACGTTTTGATCTTTATTGAGATCATCTTCAGGGCTCAAAGTGTTTGTCTTCTGTGTAATTGTGCCATTCTTGCATGTCATGTTGAGGGTATCCCTATTTTTGTGTTAATGTCTTAATGTTTTTGATGCTAGTGGTGATTTCTAGGTTTAAAATGTTTCTTTTGAAATGTATTGTGGCTTTATGTATGTCGTTAATTCTGGTGTTTGGCTGTGTTAGTGTGGCATTTCTGAAGTTAAAATTTTTTTTGATGTGAGTAGGAAATACCTTGTGTTGTCTACATTTCAACAAAAAAGTTTTCTGGTTGATAGCCGATGCAAGTTTTTTCTCCTTGTTGGCGATGTCCTTCAGAATATTTTTAGCTTTGTGTCCATATGTAGTTGAAATTAGTTCATAGAATCCCATGTTCTTTGTTCTTCTCGTGTAGAAATGTGTGGTGGTTAGTGACCGTTAATCAATAATTATTCGGAGATCATGAGATGCGGTCTAGTGTGATGTAGGTTTCAGAAAAACATTTTCTTTATCGTACCAACGTTTCCATCTAAATTGCGATCACCTTCAGGGCTCAATAAAGATCAAAACATTGGCACGATAAAGAAAATGATTTTCTGAAACCTACATCACACCAGACCGCATCTCACGATCTTCGAATAATTATCGATTAACGGTCACTAACCACCACACATTTATTTTTTAATGTTCAAAAGCCTTTAAATAATATACTTAGATGTACAAAAAATAATGTTTTTATATCCAATGACTTATAATAAGAAATTTGGAGCTTGTATTTTAGGCAACCCATAGGTGTTCAGAGACTTTTTTGCTGTGTAAATAGATTTAACAGCCTCATACTTTTGGGCTAAATAAAACTTGGCTTACACCCCAAGGTTTTTAACGACCAACTTGTTAGAGAAATTTCTTTGTATACATTTATTTATGTAAAATAAGCAATACATCAACAACTTAGTAAATGAATTAAAAATTGAGGTTTAAAATTATATAGCCACATGAAGTGTATTGCATGTCAAATGATGCTAATAAGTCCTCCATTCAATGGAAATGAAGCCCCAGCCAGAGTACCATTCACATGTAACTTCACCGTTTTGAATTTTGTCCTACATTAAATGCAAGTAAGTTCTATTGAACTCAGACTTAAATTTGAAACTCAGAAGTATTTATCAGCTTACAGACCTCACCACATTTCTCTATACAAAATTATTCACACGAGTAAAAATTTATTAAATAAGACTACAGTATAAGCTCCATAATTTAATAAACTCAAATGATAAATTTGAATAAACCAGGTTAATATTTTGTTTTAAATCTGTAGTTTTGCATTAAAAAACTAATAACTAGTGAAAAGATTCATGTAAAAATGTTTGGTAATTGTTGGTATTTAAAGAAAAAGCTGTCATACTGTACTAATCCTAATGTCTAACTTAGCTACATGTACATATCTCTGCTGGCTAAAAAATTCTCCAAAGTTGTTTATGTTTATTCCGAAATCGTAAGCTGCGGTCTGGTGTGATGTAGGTTTCAGATGTAGGATTCAGTTATTTTCTTTATCGTGTCAACGTTTCAATCTTTATTGAGATCATCTTCAGGGCCTGGGATTTACAAACATTGTTTACATTTAACAAATACATGTAGGATGTGGAAAAAGTGATTTTATACAATGCAAAATATATTTTTTTATATTCGATGAAAGTATTTCTACTCACTCATAGTGTTTGTCTTCTGTGTAATTGTGCCATGCTTGCGTGTTGTGTTGAGAGTGCCAGTGCGATATTGATGTTTTACGTTTATATACGTTGGATTTTGGAGTGGTGGGGTTGTTTATATTTTGTATAATTTTGCTTGGGTATTAATTGTGATTATTATTCTTCCAGGATTTGGATGAGGAAAGTTTTAAAGGTGCCAGCGTAGCAAATAAAGCTGAAAGTTCAAAAAATAATCCCTGCGATTCTGAAAATAAACTAAATTCTACCTCACAAGTTAGTCCTGTCTGTAATGAGAGTTCATCTATTTTTAAACTTCCTACACAGAAAAGTGAAATTAGTCCGACATCTTTGAAAATCAATTCAGTTCCGATAAAACCATTCACACCAAAAAAGCCTTCTTTTTTAAATGTGAACCGTCACAATACTACCCCAGATAAATTAAATAACAGTTACATCAGCCTTGATGCTGCTGGTCCTTCGACTTCTACTCAATATTCGCCTCTAAGGAGGTCTACTTCGGAGGGCAAATTAGTGAATGATAATGCTGTCAAATCCAATTTGATGATAGATAGGCAAAATGCAAACTCAATCAGGCCTAAATTTGATGTTCTCCCATCGACATCTAAAGATGATAAAGTGGCCTTTTTGTCAAATTCACTTATTAAGCATAATGAACTAAAATGTGTGCCAAATAAAGATAATTCTAGTCATGCTGGTAAAATCAGTCTTGATTTACTGTGTGAGAGTAAGTTTAAAATAATTCCTTTTGTTCTAAATTTATTATTAATCTAAATATTTTTTTTTGTTTAAGAAAAATTATGCCAACCAACATATAGACAAACAGATAAAATAGTTAGGCAAAGAAAGTTCCCAGGACCTGCTGGCCTTCTTCCACAACGGGTAGGTCTTTGAGAAATTATTTCTTGGTTGAAGTAGTTATAAATTTATAATTGTTTGTCTATATACAACTTCAGATTTCAAATACTTCTTTAATTGCGACCGAGGATTTCCTGAATGAACTTGAAAATGAAACAAATAATAGAGAATATGAGGTAATATATTTGCCATTTTTCTATCAAAATCGTATTTTTGAAAATTTTTAATTTAGGAAAAAGAAGTCCTGTCACAACAAACAGGAAGTTTTTTTGAAAACAGCGACTCCTGGTTAGCTCTCCTCGAAGACTTGGGCCCTTGTGGATCACAATTGATGGGCTCTCTCAATCTCTCCTTATTTCCAAAAGTTTTGAAAAGAAACTTAAGAGGCTGTAAAATTCCTTTTTTGGCTGTGATGGTTATGAATGTTGATTGTACACTTCAGGACCCTTTTTTACAATTGAAAGATACCAGTGGTGTGTATCTAATATTTTAAGTTTGTGGCACTCGTGTAATGTATTACATGATTTTAAAGGCGAGATCCCTGCTATTCTTCATAGAGATGTCTGGGACAGTTGGAATTCTGAAATATGTCCAGGAAGCGTCTTAGTACTTAGAAATGTAGGTGTTATTAGCGCAGGCGTTTTGATTAGAAGATGTATATTGAACATTACGGAAAACAACATAACTGCAATTTATTACTCCAAGCCTGGTATTTATATAATATATTTTTGAAAAAAAATTATTTGTACTTTTAAATTTTTGTGTATCTGTTAAAACGTATATTTCAGAACATAAAAAAGTGCAATTGAAAATGTTGAGTCACTTACCAACCGTGGACGAAAGCTTGGAAATACTTCAGGAATGGAAGAAAATAATGGAGAATGTTCCTACCACTCCGATAAGGTAAGTTATATAAATTTATATGTAAAAAAAGAATAAAATAATGATATTGAATTTTTGTAGAAGACCTGGGGTAAATTCTAATACTGTTCCGCTTTTCAACCATTTTCCCCTTGATAATTTTGGAGAGCCTCCTGAAAAAAAGATCTGTAGCTCCCTACCCCCCCAAGGGAAAGTTGTCAATCCGAATCCATTCAAATTGGGTGATAATGCACTTGTTGATTCATTTTTGGAAGGCCTTGATACAAATGAACTTTTCTGTGATTTTTAAATGACATTTATATAATATGTGTACATATTTAATAAACTATATTTCGATATATAGGAAATAATATTTTCGCTGTATTTAAATTAAACTAATTTATTATAAATACGAATTTTAATTTGTTAATTCATTATTTTATTTAAAAAAACCTTTTATTTGACTTACTTCACAAGCGTATTCTAATATTTTAAAAATATTAGATATTCTTCTTTTCTTTCCTGATTTTTGATGATCTCTTTTCTTCCAATTAAATTAATTCAATTCATGTCAAGGAATTGTGCAAAAAAGAATTGCTCGAATGTATAAAAAATGAAAACTTCTTAAATACAACTTATATTTTCCTTAAAAGTCTAATATTTACATATTTTAAAAAATACAAGTTACCACAATGACACAACATTGAAATTTGACTTTTGTACAAATAATAATAATAATAATAATAAATGACACACGGAAAACACGAAACTTTCAGACACTCGGTTCTTTCGAACAAAAATGTTTACGTCTTTGATTTAGCACAGCATAAAAAAAAATCATACTTAATTGATACATGAACAGTCAATTGGCACGGTTTCAAACTAATATTGTGTGGCATTTACTTTTTGGCGAGCAATGGGTCAAATCCTTCTGCTGTTCCATGGAAGTGGTTGTTATGTCCGAAATCAGCCCATTTTGAAAGGTCTATCGATGGAAGTACACCACTCTTGCAAGGTACTCTTGGGTTTCTAAGCAAAAACAGATTTTAGAGGCAATTTCAAGGTAATTAACAAAAAATACTTACATTTCATGATCTGGCAGGACCATAGGATAGACTTGAAGTGTGTCAATTAAATCTGTATTGTCACATATTACTCTTGACAATTTTATTTTACGAATTTCTTGCAATTGTTCTGAAAAATTAAACATTTAGTTTAAATAATTTAACAGCCGATGAATCAATTTTGATAATACCTGGCGTAAAGGAAGATGGTTGGTTCGGCAGTTCATACCAAAACCTGTCACCTCTCCTTGCATAACTGAATTGGGTAGCAATTATGCAACTAAAAGTTGGTCCAATCATCGAACCAGGTAGAGGTCTCTCAGAAACTCCTCCTGACCATAAATCGACATCAGATGGATGCCTGAAAATGTTATAAAGAAAAATTAAACAAATTTTGTCTTAAAATTTATATGCTCAGTTATTAAAACTGACTCGAATATTGTAGTATATCTGCTGATCGTTGAGTTTGACATGGCACCAAATAGGGCTTCAAAACTGTGCGCTTCTGGCAAACCGCAGAACTTTCTGTTTTAACGAATCATCCGTTATTTTGTTGAAATTTTCTAAACATTTAATGTAAATAAAATTTACCTGAATTCCATGTATCCAGGGATGCCAAAATCCCTGCCTCTTTGCATGTTGAAAGCTACTAAATCAAGACCAAAATGGTTTCCTGGTTTCTTGAATAAATTATTCGTCACCTTAAATCAACAATTTAATTATTTACACATTCTTTAATCACTTTATTATTCATAAAACTGCTATTTAAAAGGTGAACATTTCAAATTACCTCTTGTGTCACAGAGTCGTCCATTGCTTGAGCTACTTGGTTCATCAGCCCCATGAAATACTCATCAAATACACCTGCACGGTATAAATCATATGGCCTTCTAATTAGATCAGAAAGTCGCTTTGAGGCAATAAATTTGTGCGCCTTGCTCCATCGTTCGACTGCAGTTGGTAGGAGTGTATGCCCAAATCTAAATGCAGCTGCGGAAAATGCATCAATGACATTGGGATTCACTTCTGGATCATAACCATCCCAATAGCCCTGAAAACAATATTTAAATTTTTCAATTTATTTTATTTAAATTATGACTTGATTAATTTAAGAATTACCTCCTTCTGCAATAGTAGACCAAATTTATCCATCACCTCTTTTCCTAGAAGTATAGGAAGAAATTCATTATACGTTATATGTTGGATTTCAGCAATTACTATCCTTCTAGCTTCCTGTAAAATGTAATAAAAAAATTTGTAAGATCAAAATTTGAATTAAATCATCTAAGAATTTACCTGATAAAGCGTTTCATCATCCCAATGTGGGTTTATCTGAGACAGTGCATGAGCTAGCCTGTTGTGTTCTCGAGCCATAAGTGTGTGCATGCATGTCAGAACCAGTTGTTCGTTCACTCGAATTTCTCCTGCTTCAAAACAGAACTGCGATCGGTTCGTTCTCGTGCAGCCTTCATCCGGGATATCCAATTTGAGAGGGAGCAGATCTTTAAGGCCATATTCAGCAAAAACTGGGTTCATTCTGAGGGTTCCTCCATATCCTGACCGCAAGTGCCTAACATTTTTCTGGCGTTAGTAAATGCGCACTTATTTCATTAATGATATATATTACCTTGCGAATGTTTCTGTAATACCATAAACAGTATTTGCATCAATGACACCAGTTAAACGATTGAATGGAGTTCTAGAGCCTAAAATCGGTTTAAGATAAATAAATGCATCTTCTCATTTAATTAGGAGTTTATTCTAAAGAAATATTTATTTAGAAATCGTGAGATGAAGTCTGGTGTGATGTAGGTTTCAGAAAAACATTTTCTTTATCGGGCCAACGTTTCGACCTTTATTGAGATCATCTTCAGAGCCTGGGATTTACAAACATTGTTTACATTTAATAAATACTTTTTGGATTGGAAAAGTGAATTTATACAATGCAAAATATATTTTTTATATATTCAATCAAAGTATTTCTACTCACTCAAAGAGTTTGTCTTCTGTGTAAGAGAGTAGAAATACTTTGATTGAATATATAAAAAATATATTTTGCATTGTATAAATTCACTTTTCTACATCCCAAATGTATTTATTAAATGTAAACAATGTTTGTAAATCCCAGGCCCTGAAGATGATCTCAATAAAGATCGAAACGTTGGCATGACAAAGAAAATGTTTTTCTGAAACCTACATCACACCTCATTTAACACGCATCTCACGATTTCTAAATAATTATCGATTAACGGTCACTAATCACCACACATTTCTAAAGAAATATATTTTTAAACTTGAAATTTTAGTTGTGATTTTTTAGGTATTTACACTAGATCTAATTTTAGTAATTCATAGTTATATTTACATTATAATTATTTTACCTAATCTACAGCCTGGTCTTACTGATGGGAAACCTCTGACAAAATCCTGGCATTTTTGCCCGTATTTATGGTAATAATAGTCATCTTCGGGTATTTCAATTTCCATACAGTATGGGTTCTTGAGATGTGGAGGACGCCTGCAGCATTCTTCTGGTTCGTTCTTATTCACAGGATCTAAAATCGAACAGACGGTGAGAAATTTTTATTTTTCGCGTAAGTGTTTAACAAACCTTCAGGAGTAGCAGTCAGAGTGAAATCATGATCGAGAAACTGGCCCCAAGCTACAATCATTACGGTCCCTGCGTGTTCATGGTAGCCTTCGTCAGGATGCATAGTTCTAGATACAACCCTAGCCCTGGGAAGCTGTTTTCCAGTCACACTGATCCTGGGAGCTGTTATTCCATCGGAGAACAACGGTCCAATCAGCCTGTTTAAAAGAAAAACCCGTAACAATTACATCGAATCACATTTAATCGCCAATGGATTTTATTTACCTTGTAAACGGTGTTTGTGTCGCACCCCATGTCGGGTGTTTCAAATTGGTACACAGTCCGTCATACCTCCTGTATTTACCTGGTCTGCACTCGACGTTAGCAAGGAAAGGGGGACATACTTCTCGAATCAAAGTTTTCGATGTGTCAATCAAAGGTAGCCCCTTTTCAATTTCCTCATAAGTCAGCCCATAACTATGGATAAATTAATGTAAGATATACGTTTTCCCAAGGAGATCGTATTTCTGCTTTTAGCAAGCCGTGAGAATGAAATTATTCTCCAGTAAAAATATGCTGACGGACTATACATTTTGAGATTGAACTTGACTATCTCGTCCGTGGTGCTTTTAGTATCATGAAAAACATTTTCGAGCAGAAATTAGTATTTTTTCTTTTGTTAAATACAACGTTTAGAAAGTTATCTCGGGCGTTTGTCGAATCGTAATTTGAGTTGTGATGCCAAATTATTCGATAGGAAAAACCGCTTTGCGTATTCAACTTAAGAAGCATTCAGAGAAAGAGTGAAAGCCATTTTCAGCATTAATTTTTTCCCTGGAAGTTTCCCCTCATGGTACAATTTAGTTAATTATTTGTACAAATGAAATTATAGACCGGCAAATTTAAAGAATGTTTTGGTATGGAAAATAAGGGCGACTCTTCCTTAATTGGTCTTCAGACAACTTTCGTTCCGCTAATTTTTTCTCTAGAGCGATTTTCGGAGCACCGGTTTTACTCTTGCTGGCAAGTGGCTTATCGATAAAAACAGCTTTTTGCTCCGTTACGTGCTACATCTTCGACGTTTAACAGGTCTCGATCAAATAGTTACAACTTACTTTTTCGCCAGTTGAATTGATATATCCAAGAGTAGTTCTCCTACAGTTGCAACATCATGTGCGCTCCACTCTCCTTTCGGAGTTGATACGTCTGGAAACAGTTTCATTTCACATTAAATAAAGGTAACAAAAAACATTTAATTTTAGATCGATATATGCAATGAAAAAAAAAATCTATGAAAAGTGATTACCAACTCTAATCCTACCTAATCTAACAAGTTACAGCAGTCAGTTAAAATGGGGAAAGCGGTTGTCTTGTACACAGGAAAGCAATTTAACAGTCATAAAAGTGAAACTGTGCTGGGTGGTGAGCGAATTGATGAATAATCGCCAGATCAAGATTGTTATCTTAGTCCGCCTAGTTTCCCTGCTAGCCTTCAGTGTCCATGTGGCATGCCTTTGCCTACATTAAAACCCTGACTGTGCCATTTTACAAGCTGGTGCGTGTTCTTGCATTGCAATTTAAAAAAAGTTTAATTTTTTGGAAGTTTTCAACAAACAGTAAAAAGCTTGCATAAATTGCTACGATTGTTGATGACGTTTAGAGTGAGATTGATTAATACTCTAATATATATTATGTGTTTAAGTTTAGCATATGGGTTTTTAAATTTTGCTCTTTAAGTATACCGTTTTGATAAATTTACTTGAAGGATCGACACTTTTAAAGATACTTCACATAACCTGCTAAGTGTGTAAGTATCCAGGGTGCACTTTAGTGGAAAGTACTAAAATCAGAGACTTTACTATTTTACGGGTTAGCCAGGATTTATCTTTTTCCTCAGGGACAACTGCATCGGATGGTTAAAGAAAGACGTCCTACGTCTAGAAAGTTCGCGGTAGACGGCGTGAAAATTGGTGACCCCTAACTGGTGCAACCTTGAATGAGATCGAGGACAGATTTTTTTCCAGGAAAAACACGACAAAAACCCTTGTGCTGATGCAGTTTCTCGACTTGCATATCCTACGCAAGAAAGTAGAGAAATATTGAAGAAAGAATTGCAGCAGACCTTTGAGTTAACTGAGTTCGAGACTGGCAACCATAATTTGAAACGTTTTTTCTTTTGCTATAATTTAACTTCTAATTTAACTAATTTATCTATTTTACAATTACGTTGAATGTAAAAAGTACTTTCTGTTTAAAGATTAAAAAGAATTACGGTTAATTAAGGTTTTTAGTTTAAATAAAAAAGTCAATGGCACGAGCGGGATTCGAACCCACAATCTTTGGCTAGATACGCTTCTGCTCTACCACTTGAGCTATCGTGACCTCGATCCACTCGGACACCAACTTCCCATCTCAACCGCACCTTTTTGAATTTTCCCTCCTTTTTGCCATTTTTCAATCTCATTGTTTTATCTCAACTAAAAACCTTAATTAAACGTAATATATTAATTGATCAAGTGGACCACGAAATTAGGGAATTAAAAAGAATGTTAATTAAATATTCTTTTTGTATAAGTCTTGGTTGAGATGAAAAAGTTAAGTGTCACCAGTCGAGGGTCGTCGGTTCGAATCCCGCTCGTGACACTGTCTTTTTCATCTCAACCAAGACCTTACATAAAAAGAATAATTATTTGAAATATATAATTTGGTCAATTGACCAAGTTACTTTTTCAATTAATTATTCTTTTTTGTGGAAACCAAGTTACTTTTTTCAATTAATTATTCTTTTTTGTTTAAACCAAGTTACTTCTTTCAATTAATTATTATTTTTTGTGGAAACCAAGTTACTTTTTCCATTAATTCTTCTTTTTTGGTAAACCAAGTTACTTTTTTCAATTAATTATTCTTTTTTGTGTAAACCAAGTTACTTTTTTCAATTAATTATTCTTTTTTGTGTAAACCAAGTTACTTTTTTCAATTAATTATTATTTTTTGTGTAAACCAAGTTACTTTTTTCAATTAATTATTATTTTTTGTGTAAACCAAGTTACTTTTTTCAGTTAATTATTATTTTTTGTGTAAACCAAGTTACTTTTTTCAATTAATTATTCTTTTTTGTGTAAACCAAGTTACTTCTAGAAAAATAGAATTAGCTATGCTTCTTTGTCAGGAAAATGTGTGGTGCCGTTCAAAGAAAAACAGTATTCTGGGGATTTGGCCACGTTTTGAAGAAAGGATAAAATCTTCATCTTCATAACACTTAATAACTTATAGTTTGTAGTTAGGTGTTGTTACATTGCCTCTTTCATTTTGGGAAGACGCTCTTCGTATTAATTGTAATAGACGTTCTATGTCGAAAGTGAAGTTATTCTTACGAAGTTGTTGTTCCTCGTTTTACTTACGTATTCTCTTCCTGGCTTCGATATAGGCGTGGTTTACAGCGTCGTACGTGATGCATGTACCAGGACCTCCGTGCCCCCTGAAACATGAGAAATGTTCAGTTTAGTTGAGAACAATTCTAGACCCTGGAATCTGGATAGGGTATGAAATGTGAGGTGGGAAGAATAGAAAGCTCTAATTGCTTCCCCATTTTTTCCGTTTGTAACTTATTATAGCATCGTGTGTTGTTTCGTAACGGATTTAAAAGATTCGTATCTTAATTTTACCTTAGGCTGTGTTCCTACCCTTCAAAAACTGTTATTTGCTAGATGTAAGAGAGATGGCGGATTTTTTAAATTGTTTTGTTGTTTATGGAGTTGTTCGTCTGAATAAATAAATCAAACTTGGCAAACGTCGGGCAACACCATAATTCCACCTTCTAAAAAATCTGTGCTTATTTTTGAAATACTCTTTATATAGGGCATTTTATCTTAAAGCTGCATTTAGTACATAGTAAAATTTTCTCCAATCGCACCAATAAAATCTTCGGGTTCATCTTACTTAGAATACATAAATGCACGTTTATTTGGCGTTCTTCGTGATCCTTGCTTAATTGTATCATAAGTATTTAAAGAAAATTAAGTCATTCTATTAGAGATTTGAAATCAAATCAATTAAAAAAAGGTCTTAAATTTTAGTTAACCCAACGAAAACTATTGATTGGTGTATCGATAGTCAATACGTAATCAAGTTGGTTAAAGCTGTCTTGTTCATTGACTTCTTACTAAAATTTAGAAAACAACGTCATCAACATCATCATCTGTCTTTAAAAGCAATCTACAAAGCCAAACATGTAAATTTGGAAGGTTCAAGATCTAGGCCTTTGATTGGTTTTGTGAAGCAAGCTTGGAACCCTACAGATTTGAGCTGACAGAAGAATTTAATTACTGAAATAGTATATATTTTCTTTTCATTTTTCTCTTTTCTCTTTCTTTAACACGGCGACCTACGGCAGACGGATTTTTCTATTATCTATTTACTGTTAAAATTTTCTACACTATAAGTTATGGAACGGAAGAATATTGATTAGATCAGCCTTCTAAAACGTTTCTGCGAATGAAAAAACTACTTAATTAATTATACACAAATTTTTTCGAAATGAAAAATTTGTGTCACAGGCGGGATTCGAACCCAAGACTTTCTGCTATGGTACACAGTCCCGCTAATGTAGTACAATCGTTAATAAAAAAGTGTTTCTATATGAAGCCGTAATTTGCTTACAATTGGAATAAAATCGGGGAGTCGAAACGAGAATTTTGTGGCTTGGGCGATCAAAGTGGTAGAGCACCGGCGTATTTAGCCGAAAATCGTGGGTTCGAATCCCGCCTGTGACACAAATTTTTCATTTCGAAAAAATTGTGTTTAATTAATTGAGTATTTATATAATTAAGTAGAAGCTGATAAAATAATTAAAAATTTAGAAAAAACTACTGTTTATTTTGATAACAACACCATCATTGAGATCTGTTTGGTCATAAAAAATCAGAGGCAAATTCGACCAGTCTTTGGTCGAACATAGGCAAAATGCGTTAGACCTAACATTGAAATGGTGCAGGATGAGTATATAATATAAACCCCTCAAAGGTTACATTGTTCCATCCACCGGGAAAAATAAGCTCAATCTAACAGCTATCACCCTGCAAAACCAGTAATAAGGCTGAAGTTACATACCTAGGAATAGTTAACTACCAAAGGTATGGAATGCTCATTTCAAGAGAACATACTATAAAGCACCAAAGGACACTGGATATACCGAAGGCTCTGTGGAAGAACTTGGGGACCAAATCCTAACATCACCTTACGGTCCTATCTTATGGTTCTCAGACCTATGATTACCTATGCAAGTTATGGTGGGCAAAAATCCGAAGAATCCCATACCTTAGCATTACTGGTAATATTGAAACGATACCCACAGCCGGAATCTACTCAAACTGCCACCCTTACGTGATAATGATGGCGGCGATAAAAGAACTGAGAAATCATTGGATAGTGTAAAACTGTAAATACTTCAGCATTGTGCCAGTGAGACATACGATCTGAGGAAGGAGGTGATCCGATGGAGCGAGGTCGGGGCTATTTCCAAGATGAGAGATGTAAGATTTTTAATTTTTCAGTTGGTCTGACGTGAAATACGTAGGATGTTCTTGAGCTTCCACAGCAGCCCAGAGTGCCATTCCATATCTAAGTAATTTTTAGGTCAATATGATTTCGACTAGTAGCGTAGACGGGTACAACTGCTTGCGTTGGTGAGAATATTAATTACTTAACGCTTGTGAACGGGTCACGATTCTGTTACGCTTAGGAAATAAATTTAGACACATACATGACCACATTGTATAAAAATAACATTGTATATTTGATTATCAATCAAGTACATATGGTGGCAAAACGTCTAAAGTGGACAGTGAGAGGGACCATAGAAGATCAATTTCGATCAAACGGAACAAGAAGTTTTTATATTGGAAATTGTAGTTCGGCATTTTATTGGTGTGGGAAAAAATGCGATAAGAAAACATTTCTGTCCGGATTGAATGACAGCACGATAAAGGAAAGTGGCGACCGGTGTTTCGTCTGTGAAGGAAGAGATTCTGTAGTGGGGATTTGGAGTACGGGACGTCCTCGACAAGGCTGCCTTTACTCCTACTTTCTCGGCGTACCAAGGTCTCCCTTTCACGCAGGGTACATCCATAAAGTCTTGTGTCGGTAATTCGCGTTTTTCCGCATCACGAATTTGCCACTCGGCTCTTGTAAATCTGGTACGCCAATATTACAAGTTCCGGTACGAAAGAAAACGGACGTTTCGCTAACAAACGGGTTGATTCAAATCTACCAAGGAAATAATAGGGTCAGATTGTTTTTTTTTTTTTTTTTTCCCCAAGGAAATGTATCAACTAGCAATTACTTTGCCCTTTCAGCCTCTAGGCAGTCTTACAGAATACAATGCAACCGATATCCACGAGAACCGAATGTCTTAAGTCTTAAGCACTTGGTAAAAGACAAACGGCATTAGCAAAAACTCTGGACGTATCAATCAGGTTCGAACTTCTTCTAACATTTTACATTAATTTTTTATGGAGACTCGAACCTAATAGTCCTTCAATCATTTTGGTCTGCCTCTCCTAGCTGGGTTGGTCCATAAGTCGTGTTTAGGGTTTTCATCATCTTCAGGTTTGTAAGTTATTTGTATTTCTTATAAAACCAAACATAAACTGTTCTTATACAAACTATCTAAGTACGGAAAAGAAAAATGAAATAAACAGACGATACCACAATGTTCGGAAACGACAAAATTACATGAATTGTCATAATTTGGTCGTTTGCGATGCAATATTAACTTTCAGCATTTTAAGCAAGAAAGCAGCAATCAACCGGTGAATGATATCATGAAGCATGTAACAAAGAAAGCTAGTAAACTTCAAAATTAACAAAAAGAACGAAGTAAGGCCAAAGCAGCAGGATATGCAGACCGAATTAATTGGAAACGACCAGATTGCCAGAATTTATATTGTTTGGTCGTTTCAGATTATTAGGTGCTTATAAGAGTTAATTAATTTTCAGATCAAGCAAGAAGGCAGCAATGATATGATAATGACAAATGATATGATAAAGCAACAAAGTATAACAAGAAAGTAAGTAAGAAAGTATAACAACAAAGTAACAAAGTATGCCGGCAAACTTAAAAATTATATATATAAAACGAAATAAGACCAAAACAGGATAGGCAAACCAAAATGATAGGAAATAACCAAATTACAAGCGTTGATATTTTTACCAAAGTTGATTAACTTTCAACTTTTTCAACAAGAAACAGCAATTAACCGGCAAATGATTTGTTAAAGCATGTACTAAAGTATGCTAGTAAACTTAAAAATTATCAAAAAGAACGAAATAAGACCAAAACAGCCTGAATAGGCAAACCAAAATGATGGGAAATGTCCAAATTATAAGAGTTGATATTTTTTGAGTTTCCGATTATTACGAGTTTACCAAAGTTGACTAACTTTCAACATTTTAAACAAGAAACAGCAATTAACTGCAAAATAATTTGATAAAGCATGCAACAAAATAAGATAACAAATGGCAAAAAGGAGGGTAAATTGAAAAAGGAGGGGTTGAGGTTGGAAGTTAGTGTCCGAGTGGATCAAGGTCACGATAGCTCAAAGAGGTAGAGCAGCGGCGTATCTAGCCGAAGGTCGTGGGTTCGAATCCCGCTCGTGCCATTGACTTTTTTATCTCGACTAAAAACCTTAATTAATTGTAATATATTAATTGGTCAAGCGGACCACGAAATTAGTGAATTTAAGATAATAAACTTAAAAATTATCGAAACGAACGAAATAAGACCAAAACAGGCAGACCAAAAGGATGGGAAATGACCTAATGTTCATTTTTAGTATCAAGAATAACCGTGACATTATTAGATGAAGTATTATTAAAAAATCAAAACTGGAAATTAGTATATTACTCCAGGAAGGTAGACCATGTTATCCGATTATCAAACCACTTCGTTCACGTAAAGACCCAAAATAGCGAGGATAAACATGCCAAAATCTGAATCGATATAGTTTTATAGGATACAAGAGTTTATTAAATTTCATCTTTGTAAGCAAGAAGGCAACAATTAATCTAGCATTGATAAGAGACAGCTTGTCACAAAGTTGGCCAGTAAATTTAAAAATAAAAATAATAGCCAGCATAGTCAGGATGTCATAATACGTCATAAATAGGATATGATGTCATAAAGTAAGCTAATGAACATAAAAAATAACAGAAGAATGAGAAATGTCAAAACAGCCAAAGACATGGAAAATGACAAAATTTCAGGTTCATATCCCCAAACCACACGGAGGAACCTAATAATCTAGCAATACATTTTCGATACAGTAAAATAGACAGTTCTAATACCCGAGAAATTTATAAGTTATAAACTAACTTTCATAAATTTAAAATTAGTTGTAATTAACAAATTAACATAATTAGTTCAAATATTATTAAAAATCAAGCATATTGCGCTGTACATAGACGGTAGAAATTGGAGGA